GGCCCAGGGGTCTTCATAATGTGGCTAGAACAAACAGTTTATAACTTTTATGGTATTACAAACACTCATACGCACTCACACACACATATGTACATTGATGTATACAACGACAATTACCATTGTTGTGTGTGTCACACAAAAGAGAGACATTTTTCGTAAAACTGTTTTCATATCATGTTACAAAATCCTCAAGCCATGGTGACAGGGTGAGTACATGAGTATGTACGTATATATGTGTGTGTCTTGTAATACCCTTACACACACACGAACATGAATGACTGATAATCATTGTCATGGCCTTTATTAATGGCCAACAAATAGACGACAAAATTAAGACGTCCTTCCTTTTTTTTTTGTTTTTTTTCGGTTAATGTGTTTTTGTTTTTGATGAGCGTCTGGTCCAAAACAGCAACAACAACAACACCAACAGCAAAGTTTGTTGAGACGCTCATCCTAAAGTCTGGCTGCGAAATTAATCAAAACAAAAATTTTCCTTTCCTCATTGTTTGAAGTTTTCAAATAACCATTCAGCCAGTCGACCGTCATAGCTAAATGGTTTATCCTCCCTACCTACCTAACTACCTCCCTCCCCATACACCCCTATTTACACATGTAAATTTTTTGTTTGCATGTAAGTTGTTTGGCATGCCCGCTTCGTTGTTAGACAACTTCTATTCCCCGGATGAACAAAAGAAACAACAACCACAGAAACAATAGACCAACCAAAAAAAAAAAAAAAAATCAATTCTAGCGAAAAATGTCTGACACACTAACATATATTCACTGAAGCACACATCTACACCACCTGTACATGTGTAAGTGAGCACAGCACTTAGTCAAATACAATGGCTTCATTGTTATGCGGTTTATAAATGAGGAGTGTTCCGTGCTCGGGGTCTATGGAGAAGACCTACACAATGTCATCAGTCTATAGAGAAGGAGAATAAAAATTGAGTCTAAATTTGCAAGAGGAAATTCCTCTAAAAATCCACGACTAGAGATTTTTGAATATTATTCTAAAATTCCTTTAAAAATCCACGCGTGGAGGCCTTTGAATATTCTTGCAAAATTGAAAAACACCTTGAGTCCTTGAATATTTTTATAAAATTCCTTTAAAAATCCACGCGTGTAGGCCTTTGAATATTCTTGCAAAATTTCTTGAAATATACACACCTTAAGTCCTTGAATATTTTTATAAAATTCCTTTAAAAATCCACACCTGGAGGCCTTTCAATATTTTTCTAAAGTTCTCAACTTAAGTTCTTTAAATATTCTTGTAAAATTCGTTTCATAATATATTACTGTAAATTTTCTTTTAAAATGATCTCCTTGAGTCCATCGAATATTCTTCTTATAGCTTTTTTATTGAAATTTATTAAAAAGTTCATTAGATTACCTGATTTTTTCCATTATTGTAACATTTTTTGTTGGTTTGCTCAAACAACCATATTATTTATTTTGATCAAATAACAAAAAAAAAAAATAACAACAATAAACAAAAACGACCGTATAATGTGTATACAATGCAAATATGATTTGTATAATTATACACGTGTAAATATTTACTCCGATTGTTTGTCGCCATGGCAAATTAGCAGCTACAGATTTGTAAATGTTAGTCGATATGTAAGCAGCACAGACAGTGGGAAGGAGATGGAGAGTGTGTATGAGTGTGCGTTACCTTACATAGTAAATTAAATAATTTAATAGCTCACATACGTACACATTGTGACAAATGCCTTTGGGTGAATATTTGTACTATTTAATTGTTTTTGTATATATAGATAAACAATATTTGTTTGATATAAATATAATTATAAATATTAATATGTGTGTTTGTCTCTAAATACCAACATTTATGTGTAAATAAAAAATCAACTGGAAAATATTTCTAATTAAATATGACCACATTATAATTGAATATTTATGGTTGATGTGGTGTCAATATAACCATTATAGCCGAACAAAACCGCACCACTTGTGTAAGGTTTGTCGTGTTAACTGGGGACAACTGAAATAGATCTGAAAGCTATTTAGAGTAACTTCGGGTAATGTGGACCACCATTTTCTTTTTTGATATTGTGGGCGTAACAACGGTAAAAAATAAAAACAAATTGTTTTCACAACATAGTAGATTTGTTGGCTAAATATATTCTAGGTCGAACATTATATATATTTGTCTATAAAAATGTCATTGCATTATATTTCAAAAAACTCTAAACTGCGAATAAAAATTACTTGGCGTGTAATGTGGACCAGTATGTGTGGGTAATGAGGATCAGTAAGTTAAAGGTAGATTGTGGATTGGTTGTGATAAATTTTAATTTATTGCACTCTTTGGTAACAATGAATGCAAAAATATATGAGTTAATGTTTTGGAATAGCCCCCATATAAGGGTACCGCCCCATTTGCTGAAGGTCCTTGCTTCATTATCCAGCCGAAGCACCTTTAATTTTGCATATCGAGTTTTCAGAGGATAGAATACCTCCTCGCATATAAAATGCGCCCATGTTTCGAACTCGTCCTCATGAAAAGGTGTCACTTTTTTATAGTGGTCCACATTACACGACATTGAATATTTTTATTTAAAAATAATTATCGGGTACAAAAATGTATAAAAATAAAAAATCACCGATTGTAATTACAGCTAAAACGTATATTTTTGTTAAAGAAAACAAGAAAACCACATAACTTCTTTATATTCGAGAAAAACAAAGTGTTCGACTATTTTGCAAAAACGTTCGACTATTGTGCTAAAAAATTTTCAAAACACACGTTTGCAATGAGAGCTACATTTTCTACTACTAAATTTTCAACATTGCAAATATTTATTAAAAACCAAGTTTGACGTTTGTTTTCACTAATTATAAAAACATTTATCAAGGCGGCATTGACATATTTCAAGCATTTTCTTAGATATGGGTGGTTGTCCACATTAGATGCCTGGTCCACATTACCCGAAGTTACTCTATTACCGTCAGAATGATTATTAACGGATTTAGACAAATGTTTTAAATTCCTTAAAATATGACATATTCTTCTAAAATTCTTTCAAAAATCCGCTCCTTGGGTCCTTGGAATATTCTTGCTAAATAATTAAAAAAGTACAAGCTTTGAGTTCTTGGAATATTCACGTATTTCTTTTTAATCTACGCCTTGAGCCCTTTGAATATTCTTGTAAAAATTCTTAAAAAATCCACGCCTTGAGTCCTTAGAATATTCTTGTAAAAATTCTTAAAAAATCCACGCCTTGAGTCCTTTGAATATTCTTGTAAAATTCCTTCAAAAATCCACGCCTTGAGTCCTTTGAATATTCGTTTAAAATTCTTTATAAAAATCACCCCTTGATTCCTTTAAATATTCTTGTAAAATTTCTTCAAAAATCCACGCTTTAAGTCCTTTGAGTATTTTTGTAAAAATTCTTAAAAAATCCACGCTTTAAGTCCTTTGAGTATTTTTGTAAAAATTCTTAAAAAATCCACGCCTTGAATCCTTGGAATGTTCTTGTAAAATTTCTTCAAAAATCCACGCTTTAAGTCCTTAGAGTATTTTTGTAAAATTCCTTTAAAAATCCACGCCTTTGAATATTCTTGTAAGTTCGTTTAAGAATCTACGTCTTGTATCCTTCGAAAATTCTTTTTCAATTTTTTAAAAATCCAAGCCTTCTAAAATTCTTTAAAAATCGACGGCTTTGAATATTCATCCAACAAATTTTTAAACATTTTTTCAAAAACTATTCACTAATTTCTTAATTTGGCGGTGGATTTTTTTAGAAATATTTATTTAACGATTTTTTTAAAAATATTTTTTCAAAGCCTTTTCAATAGTTTTTTTTATATTTTTTAAAGCCTGTCCTTGGTCGTGAACTTTTTTTTAGAAATATTTGGTTGGGGTGAAAGAAATCCATTATTTTTATATGAACTATAGCACTATAACCGTTTTGTTGTATGATTTGTTGTCATTTTAAAGGTAACTTCATGATGCCACTCTCATAGAAGTCCTTCTCTCTGTTTGCAAAAAACTCTAGAAGTCGATTTTTCACAGTCCTCCCTAGTTACCAATTTTTTATCATTAAATAAATTTTGCAATGAAAGGAAAAGATGATAATCGCTTGGTCACAAGTCCGGACTGTATGACGGATGCATTAAATCTTCCCAACCAAGCTCCCGAAGTTTCTGGCGAGTCACTGTATGTGTGTGTGGCCTAGCGCTGTCCTGACAGAACACGACACCTACCCTGTTGGCCAATTCTGACCGTTTCTGGTCAATTTCTATCTTTAAATGGTCCAGTTGTTGACAGTAGAGATCAGAATTTAACGATTGGCCATATGGAGTTAACTCATAATAAAAAATCCCCTTCCAGTCCCACCAAATGCACAGCAGAACCTTCCTAACCGTTAGTCCTGATTTTGGCCACCGTGCTTCACCGTGTGGGTATATCTCATTCCGTTTGGACAAGGCTTCGCAGATGGAAATTCGATCCATCCTATTTTTTTCTGTGGCACCCAAATATCAAGCTTCTTTTTGATGATCGATTTTTAGCTCCTGGGTGATGTTACAACTGCTCACATGCCGGTTAACTTCGATCATTTCTCCGATTTTATCGACATTTCTTTTTCCCCAAATTAATATTTTTAAAGCCTATCCATAGGCGATGATTTTTTTAATATTTTTTTTATCCTCATGCATGGACTTTTTGGAAATATTTTTCCAAAGCCTATCTATAGGCATGAATTTTTTTAAAATGTTTTTTCAAAGCCTATCTGTAGGCGTGGTTTTTCTTCTTTTCTTTTTCCAAACCTATTTATAGGCGGGGATTGTTTAAACAAATTTTTCTAAACCTGTTATAGGCGTTGAAGCATATCCCTTCATAAATTTTTGGAACAATATTTTGATATCGATTTCTTTCCCATTTATTTGTTTCTTTCAACAACAACAACTAATTTCCCTTTTTCTTGCTTCCTTATTTTCCCTCTTTCCAGTTAAGATAAAAAATTTCAATGACGATTTATACAAATATGGCCACGTTAACTATGGATAAACAACGTTTAAGTGTTAACGAACAACATCATCATCAACAATTTTTGGGCGATAAACAAAAACAACGGTAAGTTCCGCCTCCTTATTCTCATGCTTAATAATAACGATTATAGCAGTTAGCAATTGATTGATTAGTTTTATAAACGAGTTATTTACAAGTTATTAGCGATTGGGATAACTGGCGCACACACACCCGCACATAAACGCACAACTTGGCCATAATTAATCACAGTAACATATTGCATAACTAACCGACTAACTGAGCACCAACTAACTAACTAATATGGCTAACAAAAGTTAAACGCTTAATCATCTAACAATTTTTGTTATTATTGTTCTTCTTCTCTTTTCTTTTTCCCCTTCCTACTCTGTGTTTGGTATTTTGTATGTGTGCGTGTGACTAATTTCTATATTACTAACTAATAATTTCGAAAAACAATGAACGAAAATCGTATCGAAACCATCATCATCAGTTCGGAACGTGCTTCCAGTTTGGCCTTGCCGCACAGCTCCCTCTTGGACTTCTATGATAAGCAACAGGAACAGTGCAACTCAGTGGCTTTATTGCCGATTAATGCAAATGTAGTTGTGCGACGCCATTCATCCCACTACTATCCCATGTTGGAAAGTGGTGACTCGAAACTGCAACAACAACAATTCGAAGAACCCGACTCAACCCTAAACGACAATATGGACAATGTGAAAAGTTTAATGTCATCCATGAATGTTGGCTTAAATGCCGCATCGCCATTCAGTTGCAATAAAACAGTCATGTCACAGAATATTAAACATTCGCCAGCAGCACTTCCGGCATCGGTGTCAACAACAACATCAGCATCGTTGTCGTCGTCGTCGTCCCCATCATCAACTGGCATGCCGGGGGGAATAAAACTGCAACAGGCGCCACAGCATCCTTCTCATCATTTGCAACAAAAGGCAAGTTTTCTGTGTGAGAGGATACAAAAGTCGATACTGAAAGGCTTAAATTGTGTTTGCATTCCGACACTTGACTCAGAATCCTATTAACATACATATTTTTTGTTTTGTTTTATTTTATTTTCTTTCCGTTTTTCATTCACTTTCCTTTTGATTTCTCGCAAAGACACACAGCCACACACAGAAACATATCCTACGAGACATGTTCATATTATAATGCCGTCAAGATGACATATACAATTGTCACACAATTACAAACATAAATACATGTATGAAATACACCAGGGAAAAAAATTGAACATTTCATACATTACCTCTCATTGGCTCTCTGCGTCCTCCCTCTCTTTTGGATTCATTAAAGCATTGAAAGTCAAATACAAATCTCTGAGGAGCAATGCCTACAAAATACTCTTTGACATCATCCTCTCTTTGTTACGTTTTGTTTGTAAACATAATTAAATAATTTACTCTCTGGAGATTATTAAGAGAAAGATAGTGAAAAAATAATCAGTTAATTATTAGTTTGAGGATATAATTAGATTAACTTATAGTTAAATTATATTTTGCCTAATATTAATTGAAGCTAATATTAAACGGTGTCTTCTCTCAATTTTAAACATTTTATTTTTTTTTTTATTTCATTTTCATCACATATTTTTTATTTCATCTTATTTTTTACATTGTTATATGGCTTCCATGGTAAAATCATTATCCCTTTTTAATTGAATTACAAAAGAACCAAATCTTCATCATCAAGGCTCGTCCAATGATTGGCATCGCATCCCAATGTCCCAACCATAACTGCCATAACGCATTTACGCACTTTGTTCACTTTTTGTCTGTCTGTCTTTCACTTGTTTTATTATTTTTTAATTATTTTATTTTTTCATCTTCAATCACCCAGCCTGAGCTGTAAGTAATCAACAATCATTGGCGCGATGCGCTTCTCCTCCGCAGCAGCTTTTGTTTTCCCACCATTTGTTGGTTGATGTGATGTGAGTAAATGTTGATACATCCACCAACAATGGTAATCCTTTATGAAATTGACCAGATTCTTCGTTTATTTACTTTTTGTATTATCCTTTTTTTCAACGTCAAGACAAAAATGGTTGCTACGCCATAACTGAAGAAGACAAATGTAATGGCGGACAGACTTAAAGGCAAGAGTTTCAAAACTTGAAACAGAAATATTATTAATATGGAAGAGGTCTTCTATGCTATAGAAGAGGTCTTCTATGCTCTAGAAGAGGTCTTCTATGCTATAGAAGAGGTCTTCTATGCTGTAGAAGAGGTCTTCTATGCTGTAGAAGAGGTCTTCTATGCTATAGAAGAGGTCTTCTATGCTATAGAAGAGGTCTTCTATGCTATAGAAGAGATCTTCTATGCTATAGAAGAGGTCTTCTATGCTATAGAAGAGTTCTTCTATGCTATAGAAGAGATCTTCTATGCCATAGAAGAGGTCTTCTATGCTATAGAAGAGATCTTCTATGCTATAGAAGAGGTCTTCTATGCTATAGAAGAGGTCTTCTATGCTATAGAAGAGGTCTTCTATGCTATAGAAGAGGTCTTCTATGCTATAGAAGAGATCTTCTATGCTATAGAAGAGGTCTTCTATGCTATAGAAGAGGTATTCTATGCCATAGAAGAGGTCTTCTATGCCATAGAAGAGGTCTTCTGTGCTATAGAAGAGGTCTTCTATGCTATAGAAGAGGTCTTCTATGCTATAGATGAGGTCTTCTATGCTATAGAAGAGGTCTTCTATGCTATAGAAGAGGTCTTCTATGCTATAGAAGAGGTCTTCTATGCAATAGAAGGGGTCTTCTATGCTATAGAAGAGGTCTTCTATGCTATAGAAGAGGTCTTCTATGCTATAGAAGAGGTCTTCTATGCTATAGAAGAGGTCTTCTATGCTATAGAAGAGGTCTTCTGTGCTATAGAAGAGGTATTCTATGCTATAGAAGAGGTCTTCTATGCTATAGAAGAGGTCTTCTATGCTATAGAAGAGGTCTTCTATGCTGTAGAAGAGGTCTTCTATGCTGTAGAAGAGGTCTTCTATGCTGTAGAAGAGGTCTTCTATGCTATAGAAGAGGTCTTCTGTGCTATAGAAGAGGTCTTCTATGATATAGAAGAGGTCTTCTATGATATAGAAGAGGTCTTCTATGCTATAGAAGAGGTCTTCTATGCTATAGAAGAGGTCTTCTATGCTATAGAAGAGGTCTTCTATGCCATAGAAGAGGTCTTCTATGCCATAGAAGAGGTCTTCTATGCTATAGAAGAGGTCTTCTATGCTATAGAAGAGGTCTTATATGCTATAGAAGAGGTCTATAGAAGAGGTCTTCTATGATATAGAAGAGGTCTTCTATGCTATAGAAGAGGTCTTCTATGCAATAGATATAGAAGAGGTCTTCTATGCTATAGAAGAGGTCTTCTATGCTATAGATGAGGTCTTCTATGCTATAGAAGATGTCTTCTATGCTATAGAAGACAATGAGACGATTCTTAGAGGGTTTATTTCTAGTTGTCATCGATGTCCATCGGATATATATGCATTTATTTCTAGTTTCCATCTATGTGTCCATCCAGGAATTTTTCAATTGTGTTTCTAAATTTAATTTCGTTAAAATTATATTTAGAGGGTCTCTCTAACAAAAATTTTATATCGACAAATCGTCGTTATGAGTATTTTATCGTAAGTCGGAGTGTGAGCCCTCCAATTCCATATTAATCAAAATGCCATTTTCAATTTCATTCGAATAAACATCCTTGTCATAAGTTTTAACAATTCAATAATTATTGCCATTCTATTGTATTATTATTTTTCCCACATAACGAAAAAATTTATAATAACAACAATAACTTTTTAAGTTTTTCCTTTCATCGATTTATATAACTCACTTCACTTTTGCCGTCAGCCTTCACAGGTTCTCATAACGTTACAATGTCCATCATGTCTAATTCGAAAATTATAACAGATGTTGTTTACTTTGTTATCCGTTTCGGATCCAACAATAACAACAACAACAACAATCATCGGCATTGTCCGCACACTCTCTCGTTCAGTTTTCAGGATCATTGTGTCCGTTGTTATTGTCAAATCAAATGTTACGTTGCTAAAGGATTATTAGCAATTATTTATGCCAACTGGTATGTTCTGTTTTTTTTACAAAGAGCTTAAATAAGTTATGTCCGGTTGTGGACCCCATACTAATCCCCTGAAGTTCCTGCCTCTGTCTCTCCCTCCTTCCATATCTCCATTTCCATTATTTGTATTGCGCTTAAATCACATCTCGAAAGCTAACGTCGTCGTCGTCGCATGGCATTAAAATACTAAATAAACAATTGAAAAACGAGCGTACTAGCAGAATGTATTGATGGTGAAGGGGACAATGAGAATAACATGGGGGAAGTCGACGAATCGATAATAACAAATCAACAAAATAAAATACAAAAAATCACTGCTCAGTAATGGCGATGACGACGACAACAGCAGCAAATCAATTTCCAAAGGAATTTCATCAAATGCAATTGCTGATGAGGATGGGGCGGGTGTGTTTATTGTTTGGAATATAGCAGAGGCTGGCGGGGTGTAACAAAATAAGTCATTAATCATTTAATCACTCACACACACACTCACTCTCATGGCAATATGTTAGTGAACCATGTGATGGAATTTGTAGGAATTGTTGGAACAAAAGTTCCGATTTGGTAAAGAAAATTGCCCAGTGTAGGATCGTAGAGGATAAGGAAGTTATTAAAAATGTTCGAAGAATATATCTCGTTTGAATTTTCCTCAGAAGTTCCAAAAAATAAATTCGAAATTGACTTCATTATATGGAAGTAACAAATTTTAATATTTGTAATGAAAATCGAAGTAACATCGGAAGATGATATTCATTGTTGGGTCGATTTGTTCGGAAGCTTTTTATGTCATCTACCATAAGATAAAGTACCCAATTCTTTTTCTATCGAATTTGTTCTAATTTTGATAGTTTGGGTTTTTATTAGGTGGCGAATACACCTACCAAAAATTAGCATGGCATCGGTCTATTTTGCATATTGGTCCCCATGTAACGGAACCGCTCTATTTTTGACATTTTGAAGATTTTAGTGGCATTTTCCACCCGAGGGGTCTGTAATTAGCCATTCCGAACTCTTAGTGTGTGACATATATCTATGCAGAATTTTTTTCCATAAATGTCCATATTTGCATTTTGCATATTTACACAACCACCGATATGTGATCCTGCTGGTCCTCATTATTTTAAAATTTTTACCCGAATTTTTGCATTGAAATTGTGTTTTTAAAAGGTGACTACATCTATGTAGTCAATTTCAAATACAAATCTATGTTTTGCCATTACAAATGGGATATATAGTTTCAGTTTTTCGCATAGTCCCAATATAACAAAAGCGTCCTATTTTTGGTATTCTTAAGGTCTCATCCGCATATTGAAACCTCGTCGGATTTTTTTGACCGTTTTGACATAGCCCCATGAAAAAAACTGCACATTTTCCAACCTTTGGAGTTGTCATTTGGTATTATCAGTTCTTGGAGAGGAAATGCAGAAAATTATAAATCCCATCGAAGGGCCTTCGAGGTTCTAAGATTTTTGAAATACGTACATGTTTGGACATTGCAAATGCGGAAGGCAGTCGCGACCTTTGGGTTTCTTTGAATGTGCCATGCATCCATGTAGACAATTTTCCACACATTTTCCAACCTGTGGAGCTGTAATTTGGAAATGCAGCTATAACCTACAAAGAAAATAAATTGAGGTTAGACCACTAATCAGAAGAATATCTGAAATTTCCTCAAAGAACCCGAAATATCATATTTAGGACCATATTCTTCATATCCGCTATACTTGGGATCCGCTTTATTTCTCAGCCTATCTTTGATAGGAATTCTATATAATCTTTATTAAAAATGGAGAAGATATTGCTAATAGACATTTCAAGTAGAAGTACAGGTAGGATTTCGACAAAATAGAAAGGTTTTAAAACAGTTTAGAATTACGAAACAATTTGGTTTTTGTATAAAGAAGTAGAATATTTTTCTCTCTTACAAACTATTAGAACAAATTTCCAATTTCCATTTAAATATTTTCCAACTTGTTTGCAAATTGTTCACTGGGCATTATCATTCTTATTATTTGTTTATTTATTTTCTTTTTTCAATTATTTGCTGACATAAACAAATCCTCAAAACTTGTGATAACATTCATATTTAATTTGAGACAAGTCACCGAGTTTTGCAGCCCTTAATCCATCCATCCAACCAGCCCCCATTGCCATGGCAAATACCTTCTGCTGCTGCACATAACATAAATAATATTTTTGTGAAACTTAGTCAGCAGATTGTAATGGAATCCCGTTCTCTCTTTCACTCTATCTCGACGACGATGATGTTTCGTATATATTTTGGAATTTGTTGGTTCATAAAATGTGTATGAAATTAAAATAGGAACGCAAGGTTGATTCGTTGGATGGCAGCATTGAAGGTGACTAGGTATTATGAACCGTGTAACCGTGAAGCGATTAAACCATGGTATTAGGGTACAATGAAAGAGAGGGAAGAATGTGAGGTATACGAATTAAAAAAAGATACAAAGTCTATAAAAATGTTAAATTCGGCCCACCTTATAGTGGATGGTATACAAATGAGTCCTTTATTTTGTTTAAAAGTTGTTTAAGTCCATTTTAGGACCTAATACAAATCTTGGTTTTCTAAAAAAAGCTTAAAAACATATTTCGTCATATATTCTATCATGTTTAAGGTTACAAAGCCACAAAAAATTAATACAACATAACAATATTTTTGAACAAATCTCAATATAAGAAAATGGACTTTAAACACTTTCTAAATAAACGACTCAAATAATAAAAATTTAAAATTAATAATAAAAATTTAAAATTCAAATTTTTGCAGGTTGGGTTCTGTAACTGACACTATTCTTTTTTTAAACACATTTTAAATATGTTATCATCCATACCTTATTTTTCACATATCACCAATTACTATATTTAATTTTAATTGTTTAATATTTATACTACTACTAATAATAAAAACTGCACATATTGTATTTTCCCGCACTGCATACATTTTTAATTTTATTTCTAATTTTTTTTATAATTAAACATTTTTTATATTTAAATACATAACTGCACCTATTTTAATTTCGCACACTGTAAGCATGATTAAATTCAAATACACACACATATTTTTTCGGTCATTTCACTACTATTCAGATTATATGCTTCTTGTGTAAATAATAATAATCCGAAACTTTTTCTCTTCTCCCACCATGACACCATATTCTTCATATTATTTGTTTATATGTGTGTATGTGTGTTTTCGAAAAATACAGGTGAATACAACACCAGCCCAGAATAGGCAAAATTCAGATTTTGTATCAAACCGACAGCAACACAAACAACAACAACAGCATCACATTCCAGGACATAACCCGACACAATCCCAACTTCAACAGCAACAACAGCAACAGCAGCAGCAGACATCATCAAATTCTGCCACACCCCCACCCATACCCAAGCGAACATTTCATTCAAAATTTGCCTGGAATTCAGTAAATAGTTGTGGCAGTATTGCCTCCTCCTCGAACGGTGGTCTAGATTCATGTGAGCCCACACCTCCCTCCTCGGCCGCATCACTAAATCAAACACCCATCAAACACGGCAAACAACAACAAAACGCAGGAACTGCATTCGTCTATCCACAAATTCCATTGCAAAATCTACCATCAACGGGACGGGCGACAAACAGTGCAGCAGGAGGACCGATATCGGGATCTCCGGCTTATTTTCCAAATACAAACATTGAAGCCAATAATCCATTGACAAATACGTCTGGCGGACATCTTTTTGTTGATTTAAATGCTGCACGCTCAGCATACTCGGATGGTGGCAGTGTCACGGGCTACGATACAGGTGGTCTATCCGATGATGACCGCATGAGTCTGGAAAACTCCGTTTTCGAAGAGTCATTGAACTCCACACCCGTTAAGCTGTCGCATAATTCGACGAGTAAACTGTTCAACGGCACCTTGGCTGCCAAAACCCTGGCCGCCCTTACCGGCGACGTTTGCACAGCCCTCAAGCGTTCTAATCGCTCGTCGAGCAGCACCGTTGATTCGAGTATTACCTCATCGTCTGGCTATGGTTCACACAGTGAACGTCTGGCATCCACCTCAACCACAGCTGATTTTCGTAGTCGCTTTTCCAGTGTCGATACACAGTCCTCGCTCGACAGTTGTCTAACGGAAAAAACCTCCGCTGACTCACCGCTGGCCAAAGACTCATTTAAAATGGAACGTTCGATGAATTTAAACGAGGTGATGCTGAATCTGAATAACAATGAAATGAATGCAGCCAACATCACAGCAACAACAACAACGAATATGGCAGCGAGTAACAACAACATCCAGCAGCTGAGCAGCCACAATACCAATAAGTTGCCCAAAGTACCGATACGTGCTCAACGTAAAACTGGACATATGCCACCACAATCGCAATCGGTATCACCCTCCAAGCAGCAGCAAATCCAACAACAACAGCAGGGTGGTGTACAACAAAAACTTGGTAACCAAAGCCAGTCCCAGCAGTCGCTCAACAATAGCATTGATTCGAGCAACAAGGGTGGCTCCACCGTACCCAATTCGACCTCAACATCGTCCACAGCCTCAGCAGGCTCGAGTATTTCGACAGGATCGTCAATGTCTATATCCGCATCAGGTTCGGGTAACTCACCTTTGGCGCCACCCACATCCCAGCAGCAACAGCAATTGCAACCAACTCAACAGCATCAGAAACGTCCACCCATACCACCAGCCAGAGTACAAAATTTCGAAATGCACGATTCTTCACCGGCCACAATGAAAAATCACAGCACACAGCAGCAGCAGCAACAACAACAACCACCTATGAATATACGTAACCAATTGAATCGCAATAAACGTCCACCACCCATTCAGTATCCGAAATTACATCAACGTCAAGATTCCAATTTATCAAGTGATAGCTTCTCGGTCACCTCCAGTCCTGGTTATAATTCAAAAAATCTAATGGATGCCCCGCTGCTACAAAACGCTTCGCGTATAAATAAAAGTGGTGGGCCTGCGGCAGCACTGCGTCATCAGGATTCCAGTGATGCATTTGGTATGCCATCTCGGTTTGGTAGTAATGGACCGATTGTACCGCCACGCCATAAATTCAATTTCCGTCAAGACTCAAATATCTCCAGTGATAGTTTCAGTCAAACTTCCAGTCCTGGTTATAATACGAAAATTATGGAAGCGCCACTGTTGCCATCGCTGTCGGTGAAAAGGTTGTGTAACGGTAAGTTGAACACTTTAAAGTAACGTATATCTTAAGGAAATCATAAGGATATTCTGTTTTTAAAAGACGTCAAAGTCCTGATAATTCATTTCAGTGTTGTCCGTTCTAAGACGGTTTTATGTTGATTTGTCTCGAATGCCTCATTGATCCTCTATCTACAGCAGAACTCACTCGTCTGCTAATGTCAGAGAATATTGCAGGCGTCATCTACTTATAGGAGAACTCAAGAATCGTTCATCTAAAAAAGGCCTAGGAGGCCCTTTATCCAAAGAAGACCTCTAGGGTATTTTATTCTTATAAAGCCCCAAAGTTTATCCACGTTATGAGATCTCAAGGGTATCCTTTCTTTAGAAGAGCTGGCATTCCTTTAGAAGACCTCAAGGATCGTCTATCTATAGAAAATCTCAAGGGTATCCTATCTTAAGAAAACATCGAATGTCTTCCATCTACAAACGCTTCAGGGATCTTCCTCTTTAAATGCATCATGTGAAGACCTTGATGTTATTCTATCTAAAGAAAACCTAAGGATTTTTATAGGGGACTTTAGGGGTTTTCTATTTTTAGTCCTCCATCTTAATAAAACCTTGGGGGTTGCTACTGATAAAAGTCGTTAGTGATCTGCTCAGGGGTATTAAATTGTTCTGAAATCCTTAATGTTCCTCTGTCAGTATTTGATCTTCCATGATTATTTTTCTTCTCCTATCTATAGAAATTTTTCTATCAGAGTATTATTCTACGTATTTATTATATACCCTAATTACCCTGCTAATGAATATCTACCTCCTATACCTTTTCAGTACCTACACCCATTAATCTTAAGCAGAAATTTCAAAATGAAACCATCGATGAAATGGAGAATAATGTACCCATGTCACCCATTACGAAATGTGTTTCAACACCTGCCAGTCTACAGACCATAGTACGTTTTCAAAATGGTGCCCCGAATACAATGTCCTTGCCACATCAGGTATGCATATAGATTTTCAGGAATGCATTACCAATTTCTAATCGTTTTCTATTTTTTCTCTGCAGATCATAAATCGCCGAAAGAGTTCAAATCCCTATATAACCAATGGCCGTTTGAAATTCCGCCTATTTCAAATTCTCATTAACGCCTTGGCTCTATTGGCCATTGCCGGAGGTTTGGCGGCATATTTTAAGGCCTATCCTACCATTAAGTTTGTGAATAAAACCATCATCAACACCGTACATGTCGAAGATCCTCAAAGTAAAAATCCCGCTCCCGGCACATGTTTACCGATTATTGTGAAATTCTGTCAAGGCCCCCAGATACCCTACAACTTTACGGTGTTCCCCAATTATATTGGCCATTTTGGTCAATTGGAAACTCAAGTGGTAATTGCTTTAATCTGTTCGAATCTAGAATTTTGATGATTTTTGTTTTCTTCTTTTCCGGTGGCGGTTTATTCCAGGACATGGATGCCTATGAAGCTTTGGTGGATGTAAGGTGTTATGAACTGGTGTCATTGTTTCTATGTACCTTATTTGTACCGAAATGTGGTGCTTCGGGTGCCACTGTGCCACCCTGTCAGTCCTTGTGTACGGAGACTATGCGTCGGTGTGGTTTCTTCTTCGATGTGTTTGGTCTTAGTTTACCGGAGTACCTGAATTGTAAGCTATTTAAAGATTTCGAAAGTCCCGAGGAATGTGTTGGATATCAGGAGGTACAAAATGTCATGTTGGCCTCGGCGAATCCCAAGTGTGATGGCTTTAAGTGTGACACCACCCGTTGCCTGCCCAAGGAATATGTGTGCGATGGAAATTTGGATTGCATGGATCATTCGGATGAGATAAATTGTAAAGTGTGCGGCAAAGATGAATTGTTTTGTGGTAATGGGAAATGTATGAGCCATGAGCATATATGTAATGGGGTTATGGATTGTCCCTACGGGCAGGATGAAAAGAATTGCAGTGAGTATTATTGAGATATGAAATGAAAAGTATTCAAAAATGTAAAAAAAATATATATATTTTTTTATTTCAGTCCGCCTCAGTGAACGCAATGGTGATTTGGGCAAAGGTGTCCTAGAGGTGTATCGCATGAGCAGTAAAGAATGGACCCCAGCATGTGTGAAAAATTGGGATCGTGCAGTTTCACCCTCGGCCGTGTGTTCCATGTTGGGCTATAGTTCCGTAAACTCTACCAGTGTTATTACCCAAAAGACCCATCGCCCATTGCTGACTTCAGTTAATGTCTCCACGGACATTTGGAAAATGTATGCAAAGAAAAAATCCAATTTAATGAAAGAATTCTCGAATTGTACACGGTCCGAAGATTATCCAATAGCTGAATTGACCTGTTCACATTTTGGTAAGAGTTTTGGTGATATCGAAAGAGGAGGAGGAGGAGAAAAATAATAAAATGTTTGTTTCTGTTTTGTTTTACAGAATGTGGTAAAGTTAAGAGAACTAGACGTAGGATGTCCAGTCGTATTATTGGTGGTTCGAAAGCTCATCCCGGTTCCTGGCCTTTCCTGGCAGCCATTTTAGGTGGTCCCGAAAAGATATTCTATTGTGCTGGAGTTTTGATATCCGATCAATGGGTTTTAACTGCATCTCATTGTATTGGCAAGTAAGTTGAAGAGTTCGTTCGTTATTCAATTCACATATTTAAATGATATTGTAAAAACTCCACGGCCTTTAGAAAAGTAAATGCTTTTCTAGAACAAATTTATGGTCATTGTTTAGATTATTTTAATCATTTATAAGACCGAATCAAATTGTCATGTTTAATATTCTCTTACTTCTCTCATTCATTACAGCCACACTGTTATTGATCTTGAAGATTGGACAATACAACTGGGTGTTACACGACGCAATTCCTACACGTATTCAAGTCAGGAGGTTAAAGTGAAGACAGTTATACCCCATCCCCTATACAATACAGCGATAACACATGACAACGATATTGCACTGTTCCAGGTAATTTCAATCTAATCAAAAATAATATTAAGCAATGGAACTAATCATCATTTATCGCATTTCTAGCTTGCCAAACGTGTATCATTTCACGAGCATCTACTGCCAGTTTGTTTACCTCCGCCCAATATGAAACAATTGAAACCTGATTCGATGTGCACGGTTATTGGTTGGGGCAAGAGACGTGATAAAGATCGTATGTTTATCAATTTTCTAAATTTTATGATCGTTTAAACATTAACATTTTTTTCATTAATTAACATTTCATTTCAGCTTCGGCAACCTATGAACCCATTGTCAATGAAGTCCAAGTCCCAATTATCCGGAGAACCCAGTGTGATGAATGGTTAGATAATTTAACGGTGTCAGATGGTATGATTTGTGCAGGCTATGAAGAAGGTGGCAAAGATGCTTGTCAGGTATGTTGAAGATAATACGGAAATTATGTTGGTATTCAAAGAAGAATTCGATGTGAGATAAACAATCGAATGTTCGATTCGGTGTTTCTTCATGTCCAAAAAAAAACTTTACTTTTGCTAATGTTTCCATACAATTTTTTCACCTTTCATCGCTATTTTTCATTTTCTCCTATTTAGGGTGATTCGGGTGGTCCCCTCCTCTGTCCATATCCTGGAGAAAAGGATCGTTGGTTTGTTGGCGGCATTGTCTCGTGGGGTATAATGTGTGCCCATCCCAAATTACCTGGTGTCTATGCAAATGTCATTAAATATGTACCCTGGATTAATGAACAAATTCAAAAATATTCTCGAGATGAACCCTATTCCAAATATGATGCACATCCTGGCGGCCCTGATATATTATCCAATTTGGCAACGGTATCACTGAAGAGTCGACAAACACCTAAAGTGCATCGCAGTCCAATGGATATAGATTATTATGATAGTCAAGAGAGAAGTCAATGGGGGTAAGATGGAAACAAGAGAGACACAGAGTGTGAATAAGATATAAAAGGCAACAAAAATACTTAAAGGAAATTACTAACAAAATTATATATTAAACTAATATATTTTTGCTACTGGTTAACTGGAAATAATAGAAAACAAAAATATATAATTGTTTTTCAATAATTATAGAAAACAACCACAAGAGAAAAACCAAAAAAAAAAAAATATTGTCAATTTTTTTACAAAACAAGAAAACATATTTTGGGTCAATTTTTTTAAGAATGAACTAAATTCCTAAAGAAATATTACACATACATATTTACTTGGCATATCTATCACCCCCCAGAAAAAAAAGAACATCTAAATACACAGCATATCCTTTTTGCAGACATATGAAATAGAAACATTTTTGTAATGGAAAATAAAACGAAAACAAAAATAAGACAATAAATGTATTATATATGAAATTATAGCATAATATTATAAAAATATATATGAAAAAAAAAATATATATGTTAAAACAATTATTATTATTATTGCCAAAGAGCTGTAACAACTGAAAAATAAAAAACTACACATATATATCAAAAAATAAATGTGCTATCCTAAAAATAATAAACAAAAAGCTTAAATATGTTATTGTAATACAAAATAAAACATATATGGAAATTAAATAGAAATAAATGATATACTCAATATTTATTATAACGACACATACAAGATATATACTGAACATCGTATGTTAGACAATAAAAAACAAAACAAGCATATAATACTATTTTTATAAGTTAATGAATTAAAAAACAATGAAATCTATACTAAAATAAGGTTATTATTATTTTTATTATTAATATTTTAACGAAATGTGAAAAGAATATATGAAACTATATGACAATACTATTTACCATATATACATACATATACATAGGAGATTAAATTGTGAAATATAAGACAATACTATATGAATAATATAAAATATTAAAATTAACTGAAAAAAATGTGGACAATATGGATAGATAACTCAAAAAGAAATTAAATATAAAAACATTATGATAATTGTAATAAAATATATATATGAGAAATATATTAGTTAAAATGTGTAAGGGCTAGGCATGTCTTTACTAATCAAAAAAAATGCTATTAATAAGCCATACATACTAAAGAAATAATTATATATAAAATTAAATTAGTAATAAAAAGGATGATTCTAATCATTAAAAACAGCAAGAACAGAAATAAAAATCAATGTCATTGCTTTACTATTTTTACAGAATCATATTTTTTGTGTAATTTATCAGGTAAACAATTATTAATATTATTATTTTTAAGTGAATTAGTTAATATTTATATAAGACATAATACATGTTTAACTTGGATATTTGGTTTTGTAATATTGATAATCAGTATAAAATATTTATGAATAAGGTTAAAAAGATGTGATTAATATTACAATCTTTAACTCTTGTTTAATGTGGAACTGAAATTGCATTTCCTTATAATTGAAATTCAAATGTTTACCATGAATAATAGTATTTGTTAATCATTATATTCCGATGGTGATGGACTTTAACTTCACTGTTTGCCTGGTTCGAAACTTAATTCTGCATTTCGTAATTGTGAATTGTTACAAAACTTCTATATCCAATTTAAACATGTCATTATTAAATTAAATCCAAAATAAATTCATAATTATTATTACAATAAGTAAGTATATACAATATGTTATACATATAAAAAAGGATATATATATATTAAAAAAAAAAAAACAAAACATACAATAAGAAAACAATAATGCGTGGGTTTCAGCTTTAAATAAACAATTAACACACAAATAAAAAACAACAACTATTAAAGATACATGAGAGTGATTTGTATACATTTATCTATCTACATTTATACATGAATCACTTGACGTTAAAAACACAATCTGTTCTTATATTTATTGAAACTAAAAAAATGTAGTCAAACTATTATATGTTTAAAAAAAATAGCAAAGAAACAAAATGGTACTAATTTGTAAGAAATCATTTTACATACATTTGAAATTCATGCTAAATATTTTTTTTTTGATTTTTTTGTTGGAGAATTGGAACTGAAAACAATTTCTAATTTGAAGATATATTCATTTTCTTAAACATTTTTAGAATGACTATTTCTGTAAAATAATTAACAATTCGAAAAAGGAGATGTCTATTTAGAACGCTTTATCAGAATACTAACAGCGAACTTAAAGCAATTCATTATGAAATGCCACAATAGAGTATTTTGAAACACATTCCGGGAGGACTATTTATGGTCAAAAGAAAAGGCACAATGAGAAATATTTTATTTTTTGAAAGTTTAAAAAGAGTTTGTCTATGCTAACATATTTAAAGATACACCAAAAATAATTTTCTGGTATTTTCTATCCGACAGGAAAATAGAAAGCTGTTAATCGAGCTAGTTGTTCTTTCTTCTAGATGTTTTAATTACTAGCATTTGGTTTTCAGTTCAATTTATCATTACATAGTCTATAGCATTTTTTTTTTAATTTCTAAAATGGCATGACAATAAATTTCAAATCCTTAAATCTTATTTTTTGCAAACATCACGCATAACATCACTAACTAGAATTAATAAATAAAAAACAAACAACACGTGTTTAGATTGCTATTAAAACTATGTGAGCTGAGCTTATACAAAACAAAACAAAAAATTAGAATTAGAATACAACGTTCATAATGGCCTAAAACTTCCTTGTGACAATACTTGTGAAGACAATTTCTCCAATACAAAAAAATAAAATGTATTAATTTTTTACATTTTTTCTATTACAAACGATCCTAACTCCCTCTAAAATAAATTTCTTCATAGGTATTGCCATGGGAATAATTTATATCATAGCTAAAAAAACAAAACAAATCTGACCACTCATCGTTCCTTAGATTCAATTCAACATTGAGTTGAGTTGTTATTGCTTTTTTATTATTTTCCGATTTCATTTCACTAAAATCATGTCGTCGTCGTATTCAACTCAAAAACTATTGTAGCTTTATAATTTCGAAAATGAAGTGTTGTATACATGAATTTATATTTACATATATATTATAATATATATAAAAAATAATAAAATTAAAATAAAATACTAAAAATGAAAAAATTACTAAATAAAACTATATACACATAACATAATCATATATTATACATATATACATATTATATATACATATATTTATAGGTATTATATATTGATAAAAAACCATATACTAGGAGACAATAATAATTACATAAACTAATAAAAACGAAACTGGAAAAAAAATAAATCTAGTAGGTGTTCGCTTTACACAAAAATATATACAAGAAAAATAAAAAAATGCTAGATTTAAAAAAATAGGTAATTTCTAAAACAAACAAAAATATGAAGTTTAAATACGCCACCCCAACTTTAAAACAAACAATATGTTATGTACAATCATATCCCTTTTATTTTATATGTGCGTGTGAATAATTATACCAAAAGCCACATAAAAAGTAGTTTGTTGTAGTATAAAAACTAAAATGAGACCAGAAAAATTTAATATTTTTGTTTAGTTAAACAAAATGCTTAAAAGAAGCTACGCATGTGATTTGTTATTATCAAAAGAAGAATATATACAAACAGCTTTAGCGTTTCTTTATTTTCATTTAAAAAAAAAAAGAAGACAAAAATAAATGGAAATACTCTCTCGAAGTTAGCCACCCAGGTTATGTTTAAAATAATATATTAAATACACGTGTTCCTGTACAAAACCTGATATTTTAAATTTTTTATTATTTTTTATAATTAACAATTTAAATAATTTCAAACTTATTTTACTAAAAAAATGTTCACAATTTATTTATACTATTAAGAACCTAGTCTCAATGCTCAAAATCGGTTACACAAACAACAATACATTATTATTTGTATCCCATATTAACCACTTGAATATATTTATTTTTATTATTTGTATTTTTCCCCAACATAAATAAAAAACTACTTATTCAACGCTACACATTCAAACGAACAAAACCAAGTCAATTCTATGTTAAAGGTTCACCACCACGAAAAATCAAAAAAAAAAAATAAATATCACACAGAAAAAATACATATAAACAAAAAAAAAACTAAAATTAAATGGTAACTGAAAACGCACATGGTTCTGCTACACGTACTCCTAACTCCTAAGGAAAAATATATACATAAATAAAATAAAAAAAAATTAACTACAACACATACAGAAACAAAAGAAGAAGAAAAAACAAATATGTTGTACTTGTAAACTCGTGAAATAAGAAGAAAACTAAAAAAACCAAAACCAAACATAAATGTACATTTAGAAAATAGTTGCTGTTTTATATGTGACATATACAAAGAAAAAATTAACAAAGAAAATAATAAATTTATTAGGACAATTAAAAAACAAAACAAACAAAAATTAAAAACAATTGAATATAGTTTATTTATACACAGACAGACAGACAATAAATAAAACAAATAGAAGCTTTGATTTCATAATGAAAATTTTGCAAACAAAAGACATAACATTCAAGTAAAATAAATCAATATTTTTTTATTTATTTGTTGATATGCATACGAAATAGGTTTTTGAATATTACAAAATGTAAACATTTTTAAAGAAAATTCTTTAAGAAAAATATTAAATTTATATATATATATATACAATTTTTAACATGAACATGTATTTTTCTTATATTTTTGTAAAATTTTTCTTAAATATTTTACACAATAAATGTTGTCCAAATTTCTCTACTTTCACCAGTAGCCATGTATTTAGACTCCCTGTTGCTTCCGTTACTCATACGGCTTTCCAACGTACCATTTTGGCAGCCTTAGATCTGTCTAAGGCGTTCAATATCATTCCGTCATCACGGCATGTGTGGACTTAATTAATTATCTTAAAGTAAAATCAATATAGAGTTTAACATTTCTGTCGAAGGTAGGACAAAGTGTTCGATATGGTCGATCATTTCGTGCTGTATCATTCGTGATGGCCGTTTTGCTTCCATGACACATAAGTCAGGACTACGGATGCTATAGTAAAGACATCCCTGACATAATTATATTGGACGTCAACAGATCGTCGCTTTGCATCAACAGGTTACAGACAATGAAAAACTTCTTCCAATGTAAACATTCCAACATGACTAAGGTCCGGGTACAACTATGTTATAAACTTTTATCGACATATATTTCCCGAAATTCCTTTCTGCCTTTAAGCTCTCACGAAACACAATTTATTCAACCAACAAATATTCTTCTCAAAAAACTTATGGCTAATGCCAATAGAGATGGCGCAAATACTTCTGATATTCTTTGCAATTTGCAAATTTCATACATTAAAATAATAATATTTTTGACCATTTCTTTTCTCTATCTCCTCTCAATTTTTTTTCCGGGAAAGAAGTTTTGGCTACAGCCAAACTGTGTCAATAATTACAACAACAACCTTTATAAACAATTCTTATCAACATATGTATGTTTCCCAAAATCCCTTTATTTATATTTTATTCAAAGAGAGCAGGCCTAAAACGTTCGCCTATCCTCTTACAATCGTAATTCCGTTCTTACTATTTAATTATTGTCCATTTCTTTCCTCAATCCTTTTAAATTTTTTTCCAGGAAAGAAGTTTTAATAATTACAACAACAATTTTGTTGTCAGTTGTCAGACTTTATAGTCGCATTGAACTTCAGGCATTCTTTATTGAGTAGAGAAAATGATTAGGGGGACCTTATAGAAAATTTGAAACCCGGGAGACCTTCTGAATTTCGGAAGAACTTTTAAACTAACTGAAGCTCGTGTTGATTTTGAAGGAGTTGATAATATTTTTTGATAAGCTAAATAATATCTTTTTACAGGAGTTGTAGAGAGAAACCAATCGTTTTAGATCGTAGACCGCATTGTCTGTCATTTGCATGAAATCTTCAAAACTTTCGGCATAAAAAAATTTTATTCGGATTAACAATTTAGTTTAATTATATATCTTATTTTAACTCATTCATCTAAAATCCGATATGGGGTTGAAATTATTAAAAAAAATAACACTTTGCTATTTTTATACAAAAGAATCAATATCCTCGGTTGAATAGAAAATAAAAAAATAGTAAATGTTGAAATACGAAAACTATTTATACCAGCAAAAATAAAACCTAGAAAATTAAATGTTAATATGAAATTTTGCAAAAAAAAAACAGCCATACAAATTATTTATATTAACCCAGGAAAAAGTTATCCTAAATAAAAAACTAACCTAATGCAATTTATTAAAAAAAAAACGACAACAATGATGACTACAAACAGCTGAACTAACTTTTAGAAAAACAAAATCAATTGCAAACCACCAGCATAAACCAAAACTATACCACATTTAAATTATATATATTTTTTTATTTTTTATGAAGCACTTGTTGAGAATGCAGCACATATATACATTTTTCACTTTGGTAATACATTTTCCCGCTTTAAAACTTTAATTTCCTTATTTATATAAAACAAAAATGCTGAAATTAAAAAAAGTGAGAATGTAGCTATTAAACTTATTCTATACAACTCTAATGGAATGACAATAATTTTGAAAAATAATTCCATATTTTTTCTATTTTTTTAATATTCACACCACAAAACTTGAGGCAGACATATTCACACGAGGAATACAAAGAAATATATCATATTTAATTTGTACAACAACAAAAAAACTAAATAAATAAAAAGGTATATTATATACATTTAAAACTAAAAATAAAACTTCGAAAGAAATGCTACAGTTATATGCATACATTACATAAATACATATACATATATGCATGTGTAATGATAACAATAACAACAAACTAAATAAAAAGGAAGTATACACAGAAAAAAAAACAGAACAAAAAATTATATATCAAACAAATAAAATAAATATCGTATACATAAATGTTGAGCAAAAAAACAAAAACAAATGAATAAACAAAAAGATAAAAAAACAACTACAACGAGAAAATTTCATTTCGTTATCTAATCTAAAAGGGTAAGTTTAAAAATTATACAAAAGCATTATAATAAATATTTGGGGGAATGGGATATATCCCTACTGTACTAAGGATTTACTTCTTTGTATGAAAAGATTAGAATAAAATATGTATTCGAATCATAAAGACATTGCCAAATTTAATTCAACCCCAAATTTGCTTATTTTTAATTTTTTTCTAAAATAACCGTTCATCTTAATATATAAAAGAGCTTAGTGTTAAATGAGTGAGTGACTGACAGATCATCGCCCAGACGAAACGGCTAAATTTTGAGTGTGGGTTGTTGTTGATGTGTAGGCGTGAGATAAGGCTGGGTTTTTGGAAATTCGACCTATAAGTGTACGAAAAGTACTAAAATTTACTAAATTTAGTTTTAATTGTATATATATATATATATATATACAATTAGAACTAAATTTAGTTTAGTGCGTATATAAAACTAGAATCTTGAAATTTTATAAGGAATACGTTGATCGTGTGTATGACGATTCATCGTTAAATTATGGACCAAACTGAAGATGTATGACAGAAAAACAAAAGACGAGATGTGTGTAAACTGTTATAAACAGTGTTGCCAAAAAGATCATAGCTAAAAAATCATCTTTATTGGTGTAATAAATATATAATGTCATTGTGTAATAAAACTGCAGAATTCCCTATAAACATTGCTGCAAAATTCATAAAAATCGGTTAAGTATTTCCGGAGTTATTCGAATTTCAATTCTTCCGTGCTCTAAAATATACTTTCTGTTCGATGCTGGGCGCCTATTACCAAAAAATGAAAAACACCACAAAAATCGATCTTGCAAAAATGGAAATTTTTTCCTTCATACAGCTACAGTGTGTGTATGTGTAAGTAAATATATTTTACATTGCATATGTGCATAAATCACATACAATCACACCTACATATCAAGCAACAAGAAATTGCCCTTTGCTCCTAGAAATATGCTATAATTTTCATACAACAGCAGACATTATGAAAACAATTTTTGCCTTTTTTAAAAGACCGATTTCTGTGTGGTTTTTCATTTTCAGGTAATAGGCGACCAGAATCGAGCAGGAGGTATATTTCGGACCATCGTTGAATTCAAATACAAATATCTCGGCAACTACTAAACAGATTTTTATAAAATTTCCAGATATGGTTAGAGGAAATTCTGAAGTTTTATTACACACTGCCATTCCATATTTTTATGGAATGTGAACTAAATTTTGTACAATTTAAATTTTGGTACAGTTTGGATTAAAAGCCAACCGATAGAGCTGGAATCCTGAAGATTTCCATTGGAAGTTATGGCAATTTATATTAGTGTTTACTAACTGGTACTTAATTTGGATTTGGGTGAAGCTATATTTGAAGTTTGGAAATTTTACACCATTTAATACGACATATCGGTTATAAAACTTCTTTTTTACTATCACCGACCTCCTTAACCATAATATTAAACGAGTTTAAATATAAAAATATTTGTTTTTTATTAATTAATATAGTTTTCCTGCTTAACTGAGCTATTTCTTGAAAATAAGATTAGTCGAAACAAATATACTTACCATTCTATGGAGCAAAGATAAAAAATATTTTTTTAGTAGAATTTGGAATTTATTATATGTATTTATTAACAGATTTTTTGTTTCTTAATTAAAGTAGTGTCTATATTTAAAATTGTATAGGAAACCAATAATAGTCCGCTGTATAAAAATAAATGCAACAATGATGTAAATTACTGCGATGTACCATATCTGAAATAAAAAACAAATATTTTTATTAAAGATTACATGATAGTAAACAGGCTATCTTCGATGTTCTCATCAGAAAAATCTCTTCAAGTTCGTTTATATCCTCCTTATAAAAAAATACTTCCGATATTTATCACAGTCTCTTAACCCTTGTACTGTATATTCGTAAACTTTAGCTCGCTTTCAGAAACTTAAACTCTCTTTAGTTAATCCATAAACTTTATTCAGTTTATCAGTTATGACTATTTTTAGCTCATCCGGAAAGACTTTCTTCTGATCGCCTATAAAGACTCTTTTCCGTTCGTCCAAAAGAATCCATTCCGTATGTCTTTTTTAAAAACTCCTGCCAATCGTCTGTAAGAACCCCCTTCAGTTCGTCTGTAAAGGTCCCTTTAGGTCGTCAATCATGACTCCATTCAGTTTCAGCTCATCCGTCATCATCTCTATCCATCCTGTATGTCTTTAAAGCTCCTTCCGATTGTATATAAAAACGGCAGTCAGTTCGTCTGTAAAAACTCCCCGTAGATCGTCTTTTAGGACTCCGTTTACGTCGCCAATTATGACTTCATTCAGTTCGTCTATGAAGACGTCCTACAGCTCTTCAATAGACTCCTTCCCATCTTTTATAAAGGCTATCTATCCCATCTTCTATAAAGACGATCGTATATAAATACTCCCTTCTCTTTTCTTTATTTATAAATATATTTTTGGCTCTATTAATTCCTATGCCATGTTAACTCATTCATATATGATTTGACCTTTGAACTCCTTATCAGCATTTTCAAATGATGACCACACAACTTACCATAGATTCTTTAGTATGTTGAAATCTCTTCTTTTCAAAAATATCACTTAATATAGTTTTGTACTGTAGACTTGAGTAGGCTTATAACTTCTTTCTGGTTGGGAGCTTGAATTACAGCGGTTCCAGACACAATCATGTTTGCGCCAGCCTTAAAAACAAAACATATCAATTTAAAATCCCACACACACATTTCAATAAAGTTACTCACCTTAGCACAACATTCAATGGTCTTAGGTCCAACACCACCATCAACTTCAATATCCAAATTAGGATAATTTTGTCTAAGCCATTCCACTTTGGGCATCATATCGCCCATAAATGATTGACCACCGAAACCAGGCTCTACGGTCATAACTAAAGCCACATCAGCCAAATCCAAATATTTCGAAATGGCCTCAACACCAGTACCAGGTTTAATGGCCAAACCAACTTGCATACCAGCTTCTTTAATTTTACGGCAAACCGATTCAATATCATCTTGTACAGGTTCAACATGGAATGTATACAGATTGACACCGGCATCAGCCATTGGTTCAATCCATTGTTGGGGCTTGGAGACCATCATGTGGGTTTCAAAGAAGGCGTCCTTGATTTTGTTGCGCAAACACTTGACAACAGAATGACCAAAAGTTAGATTGGGCACGAAGTGACCATCCATAACATCCAAATGTAGATAGTCGGCACCATTGTCCAGGAGACTTTGTGATTGGGCAGCCAAATCTGAGAGATCGGCATTAAGAATGGAAGGACCGATTTTAGCGTGTACAGGCATTTTGTGCTTTTATTTCGGGGAGCTAGACTAACGAGTGAGTGATAGCTAACGAACGAAATAGAAACAAGTGAATGGGGGCTGAAACACGTGCAGCCAAGAACAATAACAATGAATTAACAACAATGATTGTGAACCAATCACAATCATTCACAATAGCCAAAGCAACAACCGGTACGGCAGCCCACATCATCACTAACAAAAACAACAAGACCTTTTTGTTATTCTACAGAAAAATTTGTTCTATGTTTTATTCACAGAATATACTATTTTTTACAAAAAATAAATGATTAAATACTAGTAGCGCAAAATGCATGAGATTGGAAAACAATTTACAAATGTCATGAGGTATTCTTAAGCGATAGGAATGTGTCTATAATTCGTCTTTCTTATTGTATACCCCGGGATATTCTTTATTTTCAATGGTTACACCCTTACAACGTTCCTGTTGTACTAGATAGTCCTTTGCCTCCCAGGCCTGTGCGCCATCCTTGAAAAGGAATATGGCACGATCATCATCGACCATATAACGTTCAGCTTGTATGTGATTATTCCACAAACTAGTTTGCCATAATTTTGTTAGCGTTTCAGCTTCTTCGCGGGTTGGATTGCCATCTACGGAAACAAATGTCATAAGTGTACGACCCTTTTTCGATGCTTTTAACAATTCCTCTGGATTGGCTGTGTTCAATTTGGATAAGTCCAACTGGGGCTGAGGACGCAAATGTTCGGGTAACTCATCCGGTTCCAACGGTTCTTCATCTTCCTATAATATTAACATTTTAATATTTGACTTTTTTGCATTAGTGGTAATAAACATACCTCCCATTGATCCAACAGCCGCTCCATATCGGCATCTGTGAAATCACGTATATCCTTTTTGGCCCAATCTGGTTTCTCTTTAGATTTCTTGGCCATTGACAATGGCAGAAGGGCCATTAATATCAATAGATAATAAAACTTCATATTTCTAGATCTTTTTTGTGTATTTTTCTGTTTTATTATTTCGCAAATAGAAAGTTCTAAAACAACAATGCAGTTATAGAGGTCAATTGTTGATTGTTGTTCGGCTGCGACAGGCTGTTGAACAAAATGCGGGACGCCGTTGCAGATACGACTGTGAGGCTCTGTGTTTACTACACATCTACGAATACATCGGTTTGTATAAAACAAGTAAATAAAAAGAACATGACATTTTTTATTAATTAATTTTTATTTTATTATAAAAATTTTATTATATTTTATGATAATATATAATTAATTAAGAAATATATAAATAAAACAGTTGCCGCCCTTGTTATATTTATTTACGGCTTCAAATTGTATGGTTGAGTGGCATTGTAAACAGGAACGTAAACAACCACGTCAGACTAATCATTCACAATAATGAGTATGTATCAGTCACAATAAATATGTTGGCTATTCACAGTAATTAGTGCACGACGTATTGTAAGAGGAAAGTTGAGAATTGTACAGTAGATAAACTAGAAAAAAATTAATTTCCCCTCTTAATTGTAATACCAACAGAGTCCTAATTATACGGGACGTTTTATTGTCTTAGGGATGTAACCTGGTGTCCGATTTCTTGACACGGTATAATCTAAATGTACACGATTGTTATATCTAGGTACCAAATCCTTGACTAGTATTAAAATAATATAAAGTTGATCTGTCAGATTTTATTTGATTACGTATACATACACATTTCACTGGTTTCATAATCTCTGTAGTTTCACAATTCCAGTAGTTCTCAGTAGTTTCACAATTCCAATACATCAGATTTCAAATGCATACAAATATTTGTTGGTTCAAATTATTGTAACATTCATAATAAAAAATGTCCAGCAGCTGTCAATTTTTTGGTTAGACAATTATTCTGAAATTTAACATATTTTGAAGAATAGGAAACGTGATTATTTATTGTTGTAAACGCAGGGTTGTATTTAAAATTGCCCCATTATGAGCAGAATTTTGAGTTCCGTTGTGTATTTAAAGGTAAATTCAGCACAGTATCAAAGCTTGATTCTAAATGCGTATTTAAGCTTGTAAAAGGGAGCATGATCATTCAAAGAAATATAGACTTAATTTAAACATTTTTCCTGCGGGGACAAATACAACTGATATTTCTTAGTTGTTCCGTCCAAGGCTTGTATATTACGCCATTAAGTTCGTAAAGGTTATAACTACATGTATTGTAATTTAAATCACAATGTACCTTCAGAAAGGTAGGATTTTTGCCCCAAGAATAACTAACAATGCATGTGGGTGCACAGTTGTTAATTCGCTTCTGGATAACCTGATATTTATATCATTATTTCTTCGTTTTTTATGTTGATATCTAAAACACGCGCAGTTTATATGGATTTAAAATTTATTAATAAATCACATTGTAATTTAATGTAAATTACCTTGTGTAAAAACTAAATTAATGTCATCATTCTCAAACATTACGCATTTTAAAAGGCATAACCGTACACCTTCTTCTGATTTGACAACACGTTTTGCCATTGCGAATGAAAATATACTCAATCATTCACAATATTTGGCATTTTTCAACAACACATGTTCAACAGCTGTTATTGATTATGTTATTTTGCTTTTGACATTCCTTCACATTTTCATTTAGTCTTATTTTCTAGTTGGATGTGATTGGTTGTAGGTAACGGAATTGGATATTATATCCCAATATCGATTGAAATCGTCGGAAGAATTAACCCATATAACATTCCGGTTTATATATACAAATGAAGAAAAAACATATTTAAATTAATAAAACATAATATGAAACAATCTGTGTACGGCAAATAACAAAACAAAAACGTCGTTTCACAACATTGGCGTTGTTTAGTTCCTGCCAAAAAATAATGAAAACAAATTTCTGATGATGTCATCGTAAAAATATAATAAAAAAATGAAATCCATTTGATGATGATATTTGCAATGGAATAGCGTGTGTCCGTGGTGGCTTTTGTTTCCATATTTTTTACTAAATATTTGTATATTAATGGGTGCCGCTGTTGTTGTTTTAATAAAGAAAAAATATTTTGGTGTTTAGATTTACTACAAATTGTGCATAATTAATGATGTACACACCGCCATACAAATGGTGGGGGCCATTGAAAAGCAAGAAAAAAATCTTTTGAGAATTCCAAGCTGCCATAATAGATAAATAAATACATATTTCTGTGCATTATTGTGTGTGGCCAAATAAGTGATTTCTTTTTTTATTTTTTTATTTCCTTCCTCTAGAGCGCAAATAGTAATCAAAAGAAGAATAAAAAAAGTGAAGTGACAAAGGAATATCTCTGTAAAACAATCAATAACAATTTAAGTTTCTTTCGAAACCAACAAAGTTGTGTTTCGTGTGAGAGAGTGTGAGTGCGAGTGTGTTCCTTCAAAAGCGTGTTAGAGAGTGCAACAAACCGTGTGTCCTCCATATGTAGACCTTGCAATTTACAAAATTGCATTTACTATCGTCGCCGTTTTTCCTGCGACTGGGGGCGAAAGAATCGAAACTGTACACACGTCATCCTGAGCTAAAAGTGAAGGCCTCATCATGGTGTTGGAATCGGTGGTAGCCCATTATCTCAACAAGTACCTATTCAACTATGTTGAGAATCTTGATGGCAATCAGCTCAAGATTAGTGTTTGGGGTGGTAAGTAGTAAAATCTATCATCTGGTCAGACAGTCAGTCATATATTTCAAAGAACAAGAATGTGATGGTCATAACCCATATTTGTCATTTTGATGTTTTTATTATTAATTAACCTTATGGACGTCTTTTTATTTAATAACTCAATTAAGTGTGGGGGCTATTTACTTTTATTTTTTCCTTCCCCACATTTTTGTATTGTTTGTATACATCAGTGCGTGTTCTAAATGATTTATGGCTAGCAGCGGGGCTGAACCACCCAATTTTGATGCCTTTTGGTGGGTTACTTCGTTGGTCTATGTCATGTTATATCAGTGTATGTCATATGGCCTTAATGCGGCCGACTTTTAGATACAAGTCAATTACATTTTTGAACATTGTAGCTGTTTGTCAGCTTTTTTTGGGGGGATTTTGCGATTAATTTCTTCCTTTTGTTTGTGCGCTTTCGTGTTGTTTTGCCGTTTGCATTTGACCTAGAAAGTTAAAAAATATTCTGAAGAAATAAACGAAATTGCGAATGCGTTCTATTTACCTTAAAAAGAAGTACATGGGTACTTTTTGACAATCCGTCAGACTCAATATGGTAGGGAAAAATATACGCTCTGGGAAAAATGTTTATAATTTTTATAAGAAATTCTCAACTTGGCACGAACTTTAGATATATGTATAAGTATTATTTAATATTAAGAAGTCATGGGAATGGTATGGGAAAACATATGGCACATATAAAGAATATGAGTGGAAGACTTCCGCGCCTATAAATATTGTAAAAAGTAGACAGCTCGTGTTTATACCTACTCTATAAATACTCTCTTCATAACGTCTATAAATAATCCTTTCAGTTCGTCTATAAAGACTCCCTTCAGCTCGTCTATAAAGACTCCCTTCAGCTCGTCTATAAAGACTCCCTTCAGCTCGTCTATAAAGACTCCCTTCAGCTCGTCTATAAAGACTCCCTCCAGCTCGTCTATAAAGACTCCCTCCAGCTCGTCTATAAAGACTCCCTTCAGCTCGTCTATAAAGAATCCCTTCAGCTCGTCTATAAAGACTCCCTTCAGCTCGTCTATAAAGACTTCCTTCAGCTCGTCTATAAAGACTCCCTTTAGCTCGTCTATAAAGATTCCCTTCAGCTCGTCTATAAAGATTCCCTTCATACTCTCGCCAGCTTGACTATACCCTGTATAGAATACAGACTCCCATCGTTTTCATTTTTAACAGTCTCTTTGCACATTCCTTCAATATACCCCTTTTTAATGTTGATACAAACATACTTATGGTTATCTTCATATATGCTATGTACAATGAAGAGAGGGCCATATACAAATTTATTTAAGGTGATAACGAATAACTTGTTTACATTCAGCAAAACAAAAAATCACAATTTGCAAAAAAAAAGTAAACAATAAGAAAAAAACAACAAACCTTGCATACATGTGAAATTGAAATTGAGTCATTGCAAATTAATATATGAAGAGCTAATGAGACACTAGAATAGCTACTCTAGAATGCCAATCATTCAATTGTTGGATACTAAGACCCGTTTCTATTCATGAATTATTGGCCAATCATGCCAACGAGAAGAAATTCTTAATTAACTGATGATAATGTGAAGGCGTGCGAGTAAAAATGTTTTTATATGGATATTGTTTTAATTTTAATGAGCTTCAATAAATGTGAAATGGCAAAGTATTATGAAATTATTTAAACATCTTATTGTTTGGAATAGAGTTTTTTTACGAAAACAATATGTGTTGCATTTTTCCAAAGCAATAATTGACGAGATAACTAGCCACAATCAGTGAATCACTCCCTGATTAATTTAATAAAGGGAATCACAGGGGTCCATGTTTGAAATACTTACTGATAACAATGTACTTGGGCATTATTGCCATGCCATTTCAATTGTTAAGTTTATTTACAATGTCATCCATTGACAAAAGTACTTTCTTTTAATGAAGTCACAATAAAAGCAGAAGAAAGAAGAAATTCCAATAAGTACCTATTGTTGTGCAGCACTCTGGCATGCATGCCACCCGTGAATCGGTTGACTTGGGCCATATGGACGCAAGATGCACTCAAGAAAATAAAATGATAATAGATTGAACAATTGATATATTGCCCATATAACTCACTTAAAGTTTTTTTTTAGAATTTCTTTTGATTGTAAGCAACAATAATTGATCTCTGTTCCGTTCATGTATAAGACTCCATCAGATCTAAAAAAGACACACTTAGATCTTATTGAATATTGGGCGACTCGACATGAAGAAATCAATAAGGGGCGGCCATGACAAGGGTACGCTTCAACCTGGAGGACTCGATGGCGGTTGTAAATAAAAAATCCCCTTAAGGTTCTCCTCAGCTCTCTTTATAAAGTTTCTCTTTAGCTCCAAAATAAATTGTCCTTGATGCAGCTTCAAAATGTCTAATATGTTTTATCTACATTTTTCCTCTAGAGTAACACACGTGAAATTGTGTACCCAGTAAGCAAAAACCAAACAAACAATGACATAAAAATGCACAATACATATGGATGGGATAACATCGGCAATTGAAATGCCAACAATGGCAATACCACCACCACTGCCATCCACTTGTTGATCTTCTTTTTTTCCAATGTTTCCTTGTGCCGCCTGCATTTGCTTGCCTTTCATGTGAAATTGTAACTGGGTGCACTGTATGAGGTCATGTTGCTTTTAAGTGAAAACTCTTTATGACGTTGTTGTTGTTAACTTGAACTAGCAGCAAAGTCGTCTGCAGTGTTTTTTTAACACTTCAAGGGTTTCATGGTCGTTCCTATGCATCTGCAAACGTTAAATTTCTTGCGTATTTTCCTCATAGAAATTTGAGATATTAATGAAAGTAGATTTTCACATTTTACTGTGAAGGGACTGTTTTTTTTTTATAAATGTGAAAATTATCTTTGGTATTGGAATGAATTGATGGATGTATGTTCCCTATAACCGTGTTCCTCTGTACACATTATTATTTATTGAACATTTTTTTTTCATTTTGTTTATTTTTTCCATATTTTCCCAAATGTATTCTATTGCTTTGTGGTGTATTCACAAATATTAAATAAATAAAATTGAGCGCTGCATCATTAATTTTTATTTCAGATTATTTTGTTTTTTTGAAAGAATTTTACATATTTGTATGAAGTCATGGATACATACTTGTGTCATACGTACATACATACTTGTGTGCTTATCCATTTGGAAAGAAATATAATGCAAAATATTCAATATAAATACTTATATATGGGTCATTTCATATGATACGTACCGTCCAAGAGTTCTTTATAGACAAGCCGAAGGGAGTTTTTATAGATGATATTAAGGTTGTATTTACAGAAAGGAGTCTTTATAGATGAGCTGAAGGGAGTTTTTATAGACGAGCTGAAGGGAGTCTTCATAGACGAGCTGAAGGGAGTCTTTATAGACGAGCTGAAGGGAGTCTTTATAGACGACCTGAATGGAGTTTTTATAGACTAGCTGAAGGGAGTCTTTATAGATGAGCTGAAGGGTATTTTTATAGACGAGCTGAAGGGAGTCTTTATAGACGAGCGGAAGGGAGTCTTTATAGACGAGCTGAAGGGAGTCTTTATAGACGAGCGGAAGGGAGTCTTTATAGACGAGCTGAAGGGTGTCTTTATAGACGAGCTGAAGGGAGTCTTTATAGACGAGCTGAAGGGAGTCTTTATAGACGAGCTGAAGGGAGTCTTTATAGACGAGCTGAAGGGAGTCTTTATAGACGAGCTGAAGGGAGTCTTTATAGACGAGCTGAAGGGAGTCTTTATAGACGAGCTGAAGGGAGTCTTTATAGACGAGCTGAAGGGAGTATTTATAGATGAGCTGAAGGTAGTCTTTATAGACGAGCTGAAGGTTGTCTTTACCGACTAGCTGAATGGTGTTTTATAGACGAGCTGAAGGGAGTTCTATAGACGAGTTGAAGGAACTCTTTATAGAGGAGCTCAAGAGACTCTTTATAGATGAGCTAAAGGACGTCTTTATGTATGAGATGAAGTAGTCTTTATGGATGATCTCAAGGGAGTCTTTATAGAAAAGTTGAAGTTATTCTAGACAAACATTTATTCCACATAGAAATGAATTCGGTATATATTTTCTTTTTTTACGCATTCCATTCCACACATTCAAATTTGTACACTTCAATTACATATTATTTCGTGCTTCCCCACAATATTTATTACTGCTGTTTTTTGCTTCGTTAGAATACATACATACCCTCATAACGCTACAAATGATTCATTTCTTTCAATCTAAACACAATTTTATATAAAAAAAACAACCAACGCCAGCCATTGATAAGAAATGAAAAGAGTAATACCGGGTCGTTGGTACTCTATGTATTTATATATTAACAAACAACTTGTTCTATGATTGGATTCGACGTTTCAATCATATTTTATTATTTATATTTTACTAAGTAGAATGGGGTAGTTAAACACAATCATTTATTAAAAAACAGCAAATAAAATAAAAGAAGATAACAGCTAAAGGTGTTTGAGAGGGGGCTGGTACTAAATATTGTGATCTATTTTCATTGGCACTCATACAGCTTACAATAAGTATATTATTTTTAAATTCTATTTGTATTTATTATGAAGTAATTAAAATATCTATATTTATTATTTAGGTGATAGGAATTTATCTATACATTTAATAATGTTGTAGACATATACATATTACTGTCATTGATAGTAAATCAATTAAATACATTCTACATTGCATATAGGTAACAAGTAATTGACGTTTAAATATTATCTTAATTGTTATATAGATAAGACTATATGTCTTGGATTTTCCCCGGATTAATCTCTATAGTCCATTAAGGAAATATGAAGGCCATTCGTTGAATACTCTATTCTACAAACATTTAATATTCAGCTCTTCATATTCAAGGAGACTAATAATTAAATCTGAAATTTGCAAGAATCAGGGTGATCTGGTTTTCAATACAAATTTCCATAAAAGCTGTTTTTTTTTTTTAATTTTATTTTTGATACGGGTTTGAAATATAACTAACTAGCCTCGAAACTTGAAAAAAAATTGTTTTGACCTCGCAATAAAAGTTCCCAAAATAATAAAATTAAGCTAACGCTCAATTGCATAAATTTTGTAGATGACATACATCAGCGATTACTTCATCTCTTAAACGAATACCAAACAAAACCGCAGTTCAGAGGCTAATGAATTGATATAGCTTTTTTATGTATTTAATTTAGAATATATTCGTCACGGCATTTGTCAAACATTACACTAAAAGTAAATAAATAAACATATCGGAAAATACATGCGAAATATGTTTAGAATGTGATATTTATTGAGGTTTTCTATTTGGCAGAAGTGAAGACCAAACGTAAAGAAATACCTCCTTAAATACTTTAAGAAGAATAATTTTATAGGAGTTTTAGAGAGATTTTATAGAGGTGGAGGGAGTTTTATTGACGAGCTAATGGGAGTCTTTATAGAAGAACTGAAGGGAGACTTTATAGATGAGCTGAAGGGATCTTCACAGACGAGCTGAATGGAGTTTTCATAGACGAGGTGAAGGGAGTCTTCATAGACGAGTGAAGGGAGTATTTATAGACGAACTGAAGGGAGTCTTTATAGACGAGCTGAAGGGAGTCTTTATGGACAATCTTAAGGGAGTCTTTATAGACGAGCTGAAGGGAGTCTTTATAGACGAGCTGTAGGGAGTCTTATATACGAGCTGAAGGGAGATTTAATAGAGGAGCTGAAAAGAGTTTTTATAGATGAGCTCTAGGGTGTATTTATAGACGAGCTGAAGGGAGTATTTATAGACCAGCTGGAGGGAATTTATATAGACGAGCTGAAGGAAACTTTATTGGCGAGCTAATCGACATATTTTTATTCGAGTTTTACTGAGTCTTTATAGAACGGAACTAGGTGAAATGAGTATCTATTGGCGTACAGAATTGAGTTTTTATATACAATCTGAATGGATTATTTTATAAAACCTAATTGGAGTATTTTCAAGTAGGTTGAAGGGCCTAAAGGAAATAAATTGGTATAGAAGAACTGAAGCAGTATGTGTTTATACAATACACGTGCTGAATCAGGTAAATTTATAAGCGAAGCAAGTTTTTATACAGCAGATGAGGACAGTATTTTTTTATTTTATTTATTCTGTATTTATAGACCATCTGAAATTTGAATTACTTGCGAAGAAGTTCCTATCAAGAACTTGTATTTTTTATTTCGTAAATATGTTGTGCTGCTGAACTACAAATTTAGTTAATTAAATCTAACTTCTGCATTTGTTCACCTTTAAAATTCTTGTGTGTTTGTCTGAAATTGAAATTATTTGGGTTCACGAATACTCCCTTTACAAGTTCCATCAATTCTAGAAGTCTATATTTTGTTGTTTTTTGAATCGCTGTTGATCCTTTGGGCTATTCTTTAATTTTAAACGTTTGAACCATATTTTTTCAATGTTTCTTTTTTGTTTTGCTTCTCTTTACCCCATCTACAAAATACTATATTTTATTTTAAAAATATCTTTCTTACTTTGCAAATACTCAATTATGTTCGTGTCAGGGTAAAAGGAACCAGTGTTCGTTTCTTTTAAAAAATGAGTTGAGAAGATGATTACAGTCATACAATAAAAAATATGTATGTATATATGTACATTATATTTCCTTGTGTGCGTTACTTAGCATTTGTCTTTTGTATAAAAATCCTAAACAAGTTCTAAACTGAATGTTCCAAAACACGCATGCACCTATTCACATGTAAATGTAATTTGCTTCCGTTTCTCACCAAAAACATCAAAATTGTTTTTGTTTTTTTTCGGATAGACAAAGTTCAGGGTCAGCTTTAAGGGAACCCCTCCCATTCTCGATTTTAATTTTTCAAGATTTTCAATGGGCTGGTAAATGAATACAAATGCTTGTTAAGGTTTGTAACTTTGCACATATATAATTGAAGATTTAAAAGAGAAGAAAAATAATTTACAAAAATTTTTTGTTATTGTTTTGTTGTTGTTTTTTGTAATTAAAGAGAAGACCTTATTTTTGATGGCGGGCATAATAACTGCTCACTGGAACATCGGAATCCGAAAATTCCAACGGGGTTGTACATGTCTGGCTCTCGTATTGACTTCGCTCTAAAATTAACAAAATGGTGGACCTTTGAAAAAATATTTTTGGAAAATTGCCGATTTTTTACCAAAAACCAAGTTAAAAATAAGGAAGATCTTCACCGATTGGCTTTATCCTAGTTCATACGAGAGCTATACACTCCCAGAGAAATGTTGCAAAATTTGGAACCTATTGGATTATTAGTTTTTGAGTTATCGTGCCCGCCATTCGCAAAAAAATGTTTAGAGAAAAACGCGTTTAAAGTTTGAGAAGCCCTTCAGCCGTCACTTGATGCTGACACAATAAATCGCCTATATCTTCAAGAGTTCTTGAGATTTTCACTTGAAATTTTGTAGAGACATTCTTTATCAGTGTAGATTCGAATTATATCAACAAAAATTTTGACCCCGAGAATGGGGGGGGTCCCCTTAAGCCAGTCAGCCAAAAATCACACCTTTATTAAACCTGATATGTATGTAGATGTACGCTTACACATTTAACCCCACAAAGAAGACACACACGCACGCGTTATTTCATAAATAGTGCGGTGAAAATGTTTCAAATATTTCGCTTCCATATATTTTTTAATGACAACATTTTTATAACAGTGTGTTATAAAAAAATTAAATAAATGAATCGACCCTGAGTGTTTTTTTTTTTAAATCAGCTCCGTGTATTTGGGGTATCATCATACCAGAGTTGGTAGCTTGATTAATTCTAATTCAAGTTCTTAATTTATGACTGTATTTAAATACACTTTATGTTTGGTCATTTTGTTTGGATATATTTAAATATTTTGGCTATGAATTAAGAAAAAAACTAAATATATAAACATAAACCGTAAAATTCAAACTTTTAAATAACTATAAATTTTTATTCCATATTGAAAAATATTCCATTTCAATTTCAATATTCATATTTTGTATGAATAATTACCTATATTCAAATAAATGTTTTATTTCAAGGTGATATTGTTCTAAACAATTTAAAAATACGAGAAAATGCCTTAGACGATTTGGATCTACCAGTCCAGTTAGTATATGGACACTTGGGAAAATTTGTCCTGAAAATACCATGGAAGTCTATATACAGCCAACCTGTTGTGGCACAAATCGAAGATTTGTTTTTGCTGGTGGCACCCAAACAAAGTGTACCTTACGATGAAGAAAAGGAACTTAAAAGTCAACTAGAAAGTAAACAGGCTGCCTTAAAGGCCCTCGACGAAGCACACCAACAAGAACTGGAAAAGGGTATGAAGTAAAATTAACTTCCATAAAATCTATTCTAATCTGTTCTTTTTTATTTTCTTCAGACAACAAAGCCGATCCCGGTTATGTTGAAAAACTTGTGGCACGTACCATCAACAATATTCAGGTTAAAATTGCCAATGTCCATATAAGATATGAAGACAATACCAAACCCGAAAGTCCATATGCTTTTGGTGTTACACTACATGACTTCGAAATATTTACCACCGATGAGAATTGGCAGAAGTGTTTTGTGGATGGTGTTATACGCCATGTTTTCAAATTGGCCAGCCTCGATTGTCTGTCAGTCTATATGAATTGTAATGCTGACACATATAGCACAAGGCCAGGACATGAAATTGTACAGTTATTTAGAAACAATATTGCAAATAAATCAAATGTTCCCAGGGGCTATTCATTTGGTAAGCTAACTTAAATTTAAACAATAAATTATGTTAATTTGGAACCAAATATTCTTTCTGTGTTTTCTAGTACTGGGCCCCATATCATCAGTGGCCAAATTGTTATTGAATTCGGATCCAAATCGTGATGAACCTCCTTTCAGCATACCAAAAATCGATTTATCCCTGCAAATGGAGAAATTAAATATTGGACTTACCTCAACACAGTTCCAACTTACCATGGGTTTACTGGATGATATGAACCATTTTTCATTGGGTGTACCCTATCGGAAATACAGGCCATTCAATACACGTAAATATAGAGCACAAATATTCTGTTTTTTTTTTAAATATAATTTTATTCGTTGAAAATTTGTAGCCTACAAAGGTAATGCCAAAACTTGGTGGAAATTTGCAATTACTGCCGTTCTGGAGGAACAAATCAAGAAAAAGAATCGTTCTTACACCTGGGAGCATATTAAAGAACATCGTCAACTATGTCGCACATATGCCGAAGCCCATAAGGAACGTTGTCTGACCAAAAAGCCCTCAGCAACACTTGAAGAGACCTGTGCCTTGGCTGAACAAAAACTGGATCTCTTTAACTTGATGCTGATACGAAAACGTGTTCAGCTGGAAGTGGATCGTGTCCGTCAAAGCGAAGAAACGAAAAAAGAAAATACCAAAAAAGCCGGCTGGTTCGGTGGTTGGTTTGGTGGTGGTAAAAAGAATGATAATGATGATCAAGTGGATTTGGTGTCAAGTATCCAGGCTGCAATGACCCCAGAAGAAAAGAAAAAACTACACAAAGCCATTGGTTATGAAGATAATATGGCTCCGCTACAATTGCCGGAACATTATGAAGCGGTACATATGAAATTTACTTTGGGTGCCTTTGAAATTGGTCTTTACGATGATTCCGAAGGGCCTGGAGCAGTGGATTATCATTCGTTGCAGACAATAATGTTACTGAAATTGAATACCACTACATGTACTGTTAAACAAAGACCTGGCGGTAATGCTATAAGGTAAGTTATCGTCAGTTCTTCGTTTATATCTGCATATAAAATTTCAATCCATTTAATAGTTAGTCATCTTTTGTGTATCTCAATTATTTGAATTGAAACTATTTTCTCTCGATATTTCAGCGTATCAGTGGGCATGAATGAATTAATATTGACAGGTTATGAAAAAGACCAATTGGCTCCCACAATTATAAAATCCAAAGTATCTCATGAAAATAATCTCTTGGATATATTCTTTGAAACTAATCCACTGGACAAGGAATGTGATCAGCGAGTTCGAGTTACGGCACGTCCTCTGCAAATTGTCTACGACGCCGAGACAATTTTGAAATTAATGAAAGTTTTTGTACCCAAACAATCAGTGAATCTCTCCGAATTGGAAGGTGCAGCCACATTGAAAATATCCAATTTCAAAGAACGTTCTGCCACCGGCATGCAATATATGATTGAAAGTCATGCCATTGTACAATTGGACATAAGATTTATGCCAAATATTTTGATATTGCCACAAGGTGGAAAATATGAGCCCGGAAAGCAGTCATTGGTAGTGGTGGGCCTTGGCGAGTTACGTATCTCCTCCGCACCACGCAAAGACACAGCAAAGGACATAACCACATTATATCACAGCGGCAAGGAACAGGATGAAATTCTACAAATGGTCTTGGATAAGGCATATGATCGTTATAAAGTCTCCATGGAAAATATACAAGTTATGGTTGTTAAACCCCATGAAAATTGGGAATTGGTAATGAACAAAATGATGGATACCGATATGCATTTGTTGCGGCCAACCTCTGTGATTGTAGACTGTCAAATATGCGTGGTGGATGATGATCCCCGTTTACCGAAAACCAAAATTGGTATTCTATTGCCTTCCATTAAATTGAATCTATCCGAGGATCGTGTGTTCGAGGCACTGACTGTGGGCCTGAGTATACCCCTGCCCGAAAAAGAACAACCTGTTGAACCACCTAAAACTAATTTGGTAAAGGCTTTAAGCAGTACCTCCATTATGCGTTCAATACCTCAATTCCTTAACCAAGATGTAAGACGCAAGGCATTGGCCTCTTCCAATTTGGCAACAGATGTTGATGTCGTTCAATATACCAGCTTAGAATTAAGTTTTGCTTTGCAAGAATTCAGTGTAACTCTGATTAGAACTTCCGCCATTGATGTCCTATCGCCCATGAGTGATGGCTCTTCATTGGAATTCAATACTCCATCGCCACAATCCCAAGATTCAGAGGCAGATGTTGAATTTTTGGATACCCAGAGTACAGCAAGTGTTCCGGTGCCCGATTCGCATAAGCTATTAGCTTTCCAGGTATTACAGCTGGAAGTATCGGTGGCTCAGCGTACATTTGAATTGGTGGCTCAAGCTAAGTAAGTATTATAAGCTTTCCCAAAATCTATTAATTTGAATTAATATTTCTTCTTAATTTTCGATTTTTAGACTTGGTGCCATAAGTCTGATGTCTTATGAGCAAAATCAAGCAAAACAGGATCAAGAACTTGTGGTAATCGAAACTCCTGGCTTTACCCAAGACGGCAAGGCCTTGTTAAATGTTTCCTTTACCTCGGTGGATAAGACAACACCCGATTTTATTACCAAATACAAATCAATAGAACAATTGGCCAAAATTAATTTTGCCACCCTGAATGTCATTCTGCATCAAGAGAATCTTTTACATATAATGGAAATTGCAGATCAACTGCAACGAAAGGTGGATAAAATTATGGATTCTGTGGCCAAACCTCAGCCTCAATTGAAACCTAAAGATCGTGTTGCGTCAGCTGCCGCCGATGAGGGCGTTATTTTCAAATTGACACGAATTGCAGAGGAAAATGAATTCTCTAATTTGACCGGCACCACACCATCGCCCACCGCCACAGTGGCTCGTAAATCTCGCCGCAGCGCCAAGCAGAATGTTGTCGAGAGTATCAAAATGAAAATTGAAGCCAATCTGGAACAGGTTGGCCTTGAGCTGACATGTCGTAAACGTTCTTTGGCTAGTTTGAAAGTGAATCATTTGTATGCTGGTGTTGTACTTAAGACCTCCTATACCGAGATCCAATTGGGATTGAAGGATATTCTCATTCGGGATATGAACCCAGCTAATATTCATTCCAATATTTTGTCTATTGTGGGCAAAGATGCTTTGCGATGTGATGTGGTCCAATATAATTTGGATGAGACCAGCAATTACAATTCCGATGATATGAAAATCAATGTGGAAGTTGGTTGCATGAAAATTGTATTTGTCAATTGGTTTGTCACCTCAGTTCTGAGTTTTATGAATAACTTCCAAGCTGCCCAGCAGGCGATTGCAAATGCTAGTGCCGCAGCTGCAGATGCTGCCAAACAAAATGCGGTGGCCGTGTACGAGAAAGCTACACGTATGAAACTAAATGTCAAGGTCAAGGCTCCAGTTATTATTGTGCCCATTGACTCAAAGAGTTTAGACGCCATTGTCCTCGATTTGGGTCAATTGATATTGAGCAATGTCATCACCGATATTAATACGCCAGACAATGAAAAAGGACCCGCTGTTATGGATGAAATTAAATTGGTACTTAAGGATATGCGTTTGGTACGTGTTAACATCCTAGAAGAAACTCAACAATATCAAAGCCATTCTTCGGACTTGAATGCTCCTTTGGATGTTGTGGATTCCAATTTTGGTTTTAAATCGAAATTGAATATTTTAGATCCTACAAGCTTTACATTGGTGGTTAAGCGTAATTTATCCTTCTCTTGGTATAAAAAGCAACCAGAAATTGATATATCGGGACGTTTGAGATCAATTGAATTGAATCTATTCACCGATGATTATGGTCTTATAATGTCCATATTAAATCGAAATATGAGTGAAGGTGCCAATGAGTTCCCCAATGTGGCGGCTGCACCCTCGCTACCACCTCCATCTCCGGCAGCAGCACAACCTAAGAGTCCAACATCATCGGTACCCAAAACACCTGTTGATAGTCCGGCCAAGAAAGCTGTGGATCAATTCAAGGAAAAAATGCGTCTCAAAAGCATTGAGCAAGAACGTGTTTGTGAACAATTTAAATTCAACTTCCAATTGGACGGTGTGGTTATTAATCTAATGGCCGATGTTAATGAGGGTTTGGCACGTTTCGGCCTTTATGTTATATCCCTTAAAGGTACCAAACTTATGGATGAAACCCTAACCACAAATATTGTATTGTGCAATATGCAGTTGGAAGATACACGGCCCAGCAATACAAGTGAAATTAAGAAGTACCTCTGCCGTAAAGATTGGTTTGATGTTGAGTTAGAGGAGCACTTAGGTTCACCATCAAATCAAGGGGATAGTAAAATGGTACGCGACTCACAATATATGTTGGATGTAACGGCTGTGATCAAACAAAATGACACCATGGCTAAAGTGCGCATCTCGTCGTTTGATTTGATTTTGTGCGTAGATTTTATGTTGAAATTAACCGAGTTCATAAAGGTACCGGAAAGTGAAGAGAAACCCGAAGAGAAAGAGGAAGAAGAATCACAAGCTATGGCCATTGCTCCGCCCCAACAGCAGCAGCCTGGTCAAATTAAGACGATGGCAAGTGCAGCAGGTGAGTTTGAAATTTGTAGGTCAATAATTATAAAACGGATCATTTTATAAAAAAATCCAACAAAATGTAAAAGAAACGTTTTTGTAGATTAGGTAGGGTAAATTCTTTCTTATTGGATTTTATAGAGTCATATTGAATTAGTTAATTACCTGAAACAGATCTTTCGAATGTTCCAACCCATAGGGTACTATAATGGCTACACTTATATTAAAAAAGATATGTCTAACTTTCCTTAGCTGCTGTACGCCAAAACACCCAGGTGGAAATCGTTGAAGAAGATAAGGATGTCAAAAAAATGAATCTAACGTTGATTATCGAAGAACCCGATATTATTCTTGTGGAAACATTGAATGATATGAACACCAGCGCTATTGTATTTAATGTAAGTCCATTGTTTTCACAACGAAGACCGGAACTCTTAATTAAAATATGTACATTACTATGTTTAGATGGCAACCAACATTAATTATCGTGTTGTGGGTAAAACTGAAAAAATCGATGGTAAAATTGACAATCTGAAAATGTACATGTGCTCCTTTGCTCCCGAGAAAAGGCAATCAACTCAGCATTATATTTTACATCCTTGCTACATAAATTTGCATAGCTCAACACCACCCGGTGAAGAAGGCATGAATGTTAGTTTGAAAACCAGTGCCATCTTTATTAATATATCACCAGCCGCTTTGGAACTTTTCAATAAGGCCATGAAATCCATTACCTCCAATAGTGCTGATGAAAGTAAAAATTTGGAACAGGCCAACTATAGTGACATATGGACACCAAAGAAATTCAAGGATAATGATTATTGGTTCTTGAAACCGGGTATGTAATAAAATGTTCCTTATTGTTTGAAAATTGTATATCTTCTTTCTCCCTCATGCAGATCAAGCTGAAGATGCCATTTATGTTTTGGAGCCACCGGCACCAGCACAAACTGTCATCACCAAACGTGAATGTTGTATAATTGAAGTTGAAAACTTTGCTTTGATTTTGGAATCTGGTACTGGGTGCTTTACAACACCATTGCTTTCAATTGATACAACTCTGGAGGCCATGGCCAATAACTGGAGTTCAAATCTGAGTGCCAGTGGTCGCCTCAGTTTAACCATGAACTATTACAATCAAGCATTGGCCGATTGGGAACCTGTTATTGAACGTAATGAACGTATCAAAAAAGACGGTGAACGTGTTACCTCCCCATGGGAATTGAATTTCAATTTGGCCATTGAAAAAACGGTCTCCGAAATTGAAGAAGATAAAGAAGAATCCAAGACTTCCATTAAAATACATTCAGAAGAAAATTTGGAGATGACTGTTAGTAAAACATTTTTGGATATTGTTACACAATTGGGAGAGGCCTTCAGCAAGGCCATGGACCCTAGCGGTCTAATCAAGCCAGATGTTGAGGCTGGTCATGTTGTGATTAATGACACCGGATTCGATTTGAATTTATCGTTTACTCGTGGTGCATTCACCCTGCATGAATGCCATATGCCACATGGTAGTATTAGTGGCAACAAGACGTTGGTATTCCAAAGTGAACAGGGTAAAGACGTTTCACCAGATACTGTACAACATTGTACCATATCGCCGGGCTGCAAGGCATACTTACAATCGAAAACTGTACCCGAAGGACCGGATGCCTATGAGCAGAATATTTATGCCACAATAGGAAATATAAATAAGCAGCTGGTGTTGCCAGTCTGCAAGTCAGACAAGAGATATTTCCCATTGTATCGTGACACAAATCAGGATCCTTGGGGTATTGTATCCGAAGTGAAAATGGAATTTGGTGTTACAGTTATTAATATACACAGTGTTTTGAATGTAAGTAGAGAGTCGGATATGTTTTTTATTCGAATTTTATTACATTAATGCTATTTTTTCTCTTCTAGATTCACAATCACTTTACCACACCCGTTAAAGTGTTCCGCAAAATGGCCAAGAATGGTGAAATAATACAAGTTGGAGTGGTAGATCCCGGCAGTATTTATCATGTGCCCCTACATGCAATTTATTCCGAAAATAAATGCTTGTTCTTTGGTATTGAGGTGAGTTTAATATGCTTTTATTTATTTCCATTCTGAATCTAATAATTCTACCCCTTAATAAAGGACTATAATGTATCGGTACAAGGTATTAAATGGGACGACTTCCCCACTGATATGAATTACATGCGCCATTTGCAATGTGATCCAATAGAAACTTTTGAACCCTTCTTTATCAATGTTAGCCGTGAGAAAACCGAAATCTATCATGAACATACAAATAAATTTAAATTACTCAGTGCATTCTACACGCTGCACTTGAGACCACCAGTTTATTTGCGTAATTCATTACCGATTAATGTGACCGTATCAGTGGCTGGTTGTTCTGTACGCCAGGCTAATGCCGCCAGTGAAGCTGTACAAACGGAGGAATCAATTTCGTCAGGTTCTGAAACCGATAAAACCAAATCACAATCTCAAGTTGATACATTCGTCAAGGAAGATCTATTGGATTATGGTGAAAAGGACATTGAAGCTGGTAGTGTGCTGCATTTGCCCACAGTAACATTGGCAGGACGTAGTAAGGTTTCCAAGAGTTATTTGGTTGTAAGGGTAAGTTGTAATTTTGAATGTTTCGAATGTTAAAAATATTCATTTAAATTTATGTATTATTTTTATCAATACAGATGATACAATATTTAGAACGAGATTGGTCTTGTACCACTGAAATTTGTGAAAATCAAATCGGTGTTGTCAATTGGCGTTTTAGTTCATACGATTCGGACGTTAAAATGAGCATGGATTTATGTGTTAAGTAAGACCATAACATTGTTTTTAAGGATCGAGTATAGGGAAAAATCGGATGGAAATCAAATTGATTTAAAAATAGATTATATTATTTTTAGCAGCAATTTTAAAACCTCTTTCTCTTTGATTCGAATTAAGTGAAATCTATCCAACATATTTTTCGATATTCGTTGTAAAACAGAAATAAAGGAGTATACAAAAAATAATATAAGAGAAAAATAATCATTAATATTTTTTTTAAAAAAAAATCTCTTTAATTGATATGGTTTCCAATATCCTCCGACGTATCCTTGATATTGTTTCCTTTATGCTTGATATTGTTTCCTTTTACTTTTTATTTGTTAAATATTTCTGTTTACCTTCTTTCTAGATTTGAAGATCGTTATGGTAGTTTATTGATTACCCTCTTCTCACCATTTTGGCTTATCAATAAGACCGGACAAATGTTAAGTTATAAAACGGATAGTGAAAATGTTGAAGTTTTATATCATCCACCCGAATATACTGGACCAATATTGTTTTCTATGCGTGATAAATATTTGTTCGATAAGAAAACGTGTACCATTCGTGTTGATAATGGTGAATGGAGTAATAAGATCCCATTGGATGTGGCTGGTTCTGTTGGCTCAATCGGCTGTAAGACCAATGATCAAACATACCAGGTGAGTAAAAATCAAATTGTACAAAATTTTTGGGTAGGAAATGTTAATTTTGGGGATGAAGTGATCAGAAAGAAATTGAGCCACCATGCACAAGTGTTTCAGATGAAAAAAGGTTCCAAATGCAGTCTTTTCATCCATAAAAGCTTTAAATTTCTTTTGATTTCAAACTTTTTATTTTTCAGATTGGTGTTCACAATCACTTGACCCAAAATTCGCTGACCAAACAAATTACCTTTATACCCTATTATACGATTATGAATAAATGTAATTATGTTATTGAAGTCCAAGAAAATTCACGCCCGGCAGATCCATGGAATAAGGTATGTTACCCATTATTTTTCTCGGATCCATAATTAATTTCAATTTTTATACATTTGTAGCTTGAACCCAATAGCTGTTTCCCCTTATGGCCACGTAATGATTCCGATCACATGTTGGTTGTCAAGGTTGATGGTCAACGAACCGTACCATTTAAGTACTCCGAACCATGTAACAATTTATTGCAATTAAATATGCACAAGGCAAGAAGAAAATCGATAATATTTTATTTTTTTGTTCGGTATTTAAAATCCATTCCTTTATAGAACGGTGGTGTAAATGTCGATGTCCAAACCACAGAGGGTGGAGTTTATATCACCTTCACGGAATATAATCCTGGAGATGCACCAGGTTTATTAATCAATCATACTCGCTATCCGGTCTATTACTATGAAAAGGGTGTGGGCAACAAAATGGTCCTACAGCCACAACAAAAGGTTCTTTATACATGGTGTGATCCGGCCGGTGAAAAAGCCTTGGTGTGTGGTGAAAATAATGTTGAAAATGATTTAAGACGTGATGGTTTTGGCAAAATCACGTAAGGATGATATAATTTCTTAAAAATTTCGTTTCATTTTGATTTGATTATTTCTTTTAGTTTGGAAGGCGATACCGGTCCCTATTGGGTATCATTTTTGAATGGTTTACAGCGTGTTTTGTTGTTCACCGAATATGAAGGTATAGCCAAAAAATCCGAGACCACAAATGCCCTGGCAAGCATTACCCAATCGATTGAAATTAAAATACATGGTATTGGTTTGTCGTTGGTGAACAATGAAACAGGAGTTGATATTCTCTATTTGGGTATTACAAGCTCAGGTTGGTTACTTTATTTCATCGCTTGGCATATCATTGTACTTTCATTAAATTTACTTATGAAATCGTTTATATTTATTTTAAGGCATTGTCTGGGAAACCCGCAAACATGCCAAGAAACGTTACAAGCAATTCAGCTTGCATGAAACTGAACGTCTTGAGGCTATGTATCAGGAATATCTTTTGGACAAAGTTAGGAATACCAAAAAATCCTATTTATTGGACGGAAAATATGAGGTGAGTTATACGCAATAAAAATTCAATCATCACATTAAATGCATTTTAATTTTTTTGTTAGGTTGATTTTGAAAACAATACCATATTGAAAAATAACACATTGCGTGAAATTAAACGTTACTTCCAACCTGGTGTTTGGATTAGCCTAGACTCCTCACCCTTCCAATCACAAGTACATGCCAAAATCAATCGCATTCAGCTGGATAATCAACTAACCGATTGTATATTCCCCGTTGTATTGGCACCCATTCCACCACCAAAGACCCTGGCCAAATCGATACAATTCAAACCGTTCGTTGAAGTTAGTATTGTCGAAAGGGTTGTACCACACTCCACCGTTAAACAGTATAAATATGCTCGTGTGCTTATGCAAGAATTCCATTTCAAAGTTGATTTGGTCTTCTTGATGGCTATTGCAGAACTCTTCTCGGCCAGTGTTGATGATGAACGTGAAGCAAAACTCTTTAAAGATGATGTGGAATCAATTGAGAAACCATTATCGGATTTGGTACAAATTCATTCACAACAACAACAAAAGAATTTCTATGATAATTTACATTTGGGTCCTATGAAAGTGCATGTTAGTTTCTCAATGGCTGGTGTTGATACATCGGCTTTGCCCGGTTTCCTATCGAATCTATTGCAAGGTGTGGGTGTTACCCTAACCGATGTCAATGATGTGGTTATTCGTTTAGCTTTCTTCGAGCGTGAATATCAATTCTTTACACAGGATCAATTGAAATCGGAAATTGTGTCTCACTATACGGGTCAAGCATTGAAACAGATTTATGTTTTGGTGTTGGGTTTGGATGTTTTAGGTAATCCATACGGTTTGGTTGTTGGCATTAAGAAGGGCGTTGAAGACTTGTTCTATGAACCATTCCAGGTAAGTTGTTTTTTGTCTTTTCAAGATTATAAAGAAGTAGTGGATAAATTTTTTTTTCCTTAGGGAGCCATCCAAGGTCCAGGTGAATTTGCTGAAGGTCTTGTATTGGGCGTTCGCTCATTGTTCGGCCATACTGTGGGTGGTGCTGCTGGTGCAGTATCAAAGTAAGTTATATAATGTGTATTTTTGTTTCGCATAGGGCCTCATGGTCAAAAAGTTATACAAAAAAGATTTTGAAATTGCTGCTTCTTTGGCAAAAAATCATGTCATTGAAATGTAATATAAACTAAAAATAATTAAATACGTTGATATATTAGAAAATATAAATGGACTTAAATTGTTCCTTATTTTTTTCACAGAATAACTGGCGCTATGGGTAAAGGCCTGGCTGCCCTTACTTTTGACGATGAATATCAAAAGAAACGACGTCAAGCAATGAATGCTAAACCCAAAACTTTCCAGGAAGGCATGGCACGAAGTGGCAAAGGTTTAGTTATGGTAAGTTTCCAATATATATACATACATTTAAATAAAATTTAATTAAAATACAAATTAATTAAACAAAATATTTTTTCAATTTTGCAGGGCTTTGTTGATGGCGTTACTGGCTGTGTTACAAAACCAATAACCGGAGCCAAAGAAGAAGGTGTTGAGGGCTTCTTCAAAGGCTTGGGTAAGGGAACAATTGGTTTGGTTACACGTCCCACAGCTGGTATTGTCGACTTTGCGCATGGCACCTTTGATTCCGTTAAACGGGCTACCGAAGTGCAAGATGAGACAACACGTTTGAGGCCACCACGTCTATTCCATGAGGATAAATTGCTGAGATCATATTGTTTGGATGAGGCCAAGGGCAATCAATTATTGAAGTAAGTGTGATCATTGTTTTTTACACACTATATTGAAAGTTGGAGAGAGAGAGAAAATAAGGGGAGACCTCATTTATCATATATTAGTTTATTCTTTAGAATACCAAGTGGTCATGCTAAAGTTTTTCTATATACGTTTAGAATACTAATAAATGTTTAGTGTTAAGTTGGGGATATTTTCTTTTTTATATACAAAATATTAAAATTTGACCCGGTCGAACTGTTTCTAGTGACTTAATATAAAGGTTTAATTATCCATTTTGTTTTATAGGGAAATTGAAAAAGGCAAATACGCTAGCACTGACAGTTTTGTGCACTGCGAAGAGATAGTATCGAAACAGGAATTCGTTGTGGTCTCCAATCATCGTATTATTTATGCCACACGCAATGATATGTTTGGTACCTGGGGTGTAAGTATTCACAAGCCATTAGTTATTTCGGATTTTAGTTTTAATATTTGTTATTTCTTTTTCATAAAGGTTCAATGGACATATTTATGGTCTGAAATTCAAAATGTCACCAACACAGATCGTGGCATTGAAATTCTCTTGAAAAAAGAGGGCAAAAAGGTATTGGGTCTCTTTAGTTCCGGCGAACAGCAGCATAAGCTAATATTAATGTCTTCGCCAAAGCGACGTGAAAAACTGCTTGAAGCCATAGAATCTCATCGGGTTGTTTCATAAATATGGAACAATAAAAATTCATAACGCCAGCGCACACAACCAACCAACCAACTGAATTTCGAAGGACTTACCTTAAAAAATAACATTCATTAGACTTGATGTTCTTTGTATTTCTTTTTATTATACACTAAACATTAACCTTTAAAATAAGTTATAAGTTTTTTTAACGCATCTCCACTTTTATTTTCTTCCTTCTTTTACGATCTATTTGCATTATCGTATACTGAATTAAATTAACCAATATTTTTTTTTATAAAAAACAACACCAAAATATAAAAAAATGAATTGCAGTTTTTTTTTAATTTTTGTTTTCACAAAATATTTTATTTTATTATTTTTATTAATAACGCCTTAAGCTTTTTTATTCTCATTTATATTGAAACTACTTTTTCTAAATGTTTTACATTGTTGTTATTGTTGAATAACACATATACTTAACATACACACAAATACAGGCTTAACATAAGAATACGAACGAAACATACAAACTAGAAAACATACATCTAAACAATAATATTTTTTTTTAAATAAAAATAAAATAGCAAACCAAATATTTTTTTATTAAATGAAGAAAGAAATAAACTTTATGCAGCGAAAAAGATGTATTGTCTAAATTTTTGTTTGTTTATTTTTTGATTATTTTCGTTTCGTTTTTTATGCTGTTGTTTAAAAACATACAATGCAACAAATTATGGAAAACATAAATGAATGATACAACATTTTATAAACAATTTTACACAGTTGATATTTAATACAACAACAAAACGAACAGAAACAAGCAAATCGAAGCAAATGAATAAATAATAAAACAAATATATTTAAATGTTGAAAAATATCGTAATACACCAATTTATATGTATGTCTTGTTGTTGTTATTTCTTTAATTCGAGTTACACAGGTTTGTTGTTAGTATTTTAAGGTTATGTTTTCTACTGTCTTGAAGATATTTTTAATTATATTTATGTTATAGTTAAAGATTTAAAGCTACTTTTGCATCACTAGCACAGCTCTGACAAAGTAGTTTTTTTTCTCTTTTCCCATTACAACTCTTTGAAGGATGGATATCATCATTTAACAAATCTATTGCATTCCTTTCCACATTTGGTATGCCCTTCCATTACACCATAAACCAAATCGTCCTCAATCGTTTCTCCTTGTGTTACCACTTTGTACTGGGCTGTGCAATTGTTATTTATCTCTAATTGTCTTCTCCGGTCGCCAATCGCCAGCTAAACCTTTTTCAAAAAACTACTAGGCGGCGATGAGACAGTCATTATGGGTTCATAATTATTACAATCATTGTCACAGAAGGAACTAAACGAAGCCACAGCATCTACACTGAACATACTGGCGAGATGGCCACTGGCCTCCAATTGATTGATGAGCATATTAACCTTGCCCTTACCATTCGAAGCAATAGGTGTGGGACTGCTTACCGTAGAGGAGGATGATTTGAGAATTGGTGATGCGGGATTACTGCTTAAATTGGAATCACTGTTGTCATAGCCATCTGCATTATCCGATGAATTGAGTAGATTTTCCTTTTCACTTTGTTTACATTTGGCTGATGGTGCACTGGAATTTGTTGAGTTTGAGGAACTGTTACTCCGTGTAGAGGATGTGGTCTTGTTCAGACGATTTAAAAACCAATTTTTAGTACCAGATGTCTTTTCCGATGTGGATTTTTGTGGACTATTTTGTGGCGTTGAGGATTTCTTTTGTTTTTTTAGTTCCGCGGCCACAGGTGAAGAATTTCCAGCCGATGGTGAGGTACTCATTATCAATGATTCACCATCATTCATTTGTGAGGATCCCGAGGAATAGGTCTTCTTTAGAGGTTTCTTAACTGGACCATTCGACAACTGACTAGATAATTTACTGTGAACATCTTTAACCTTGGCTTGGAAAGTTAATTTTTCTTCCATTTTCAAATTGATTTTTGGTGGTGTAATGAAATTACCCATGGGTGTTGTGGGAGAGGATTTTTGAACTGGTTGGGCGTTACTTTCTGGTGCTTCATTGTCATAGGGATTTATAAGTTGCATTTCATCATTGTTTTGTTGTCCATTTAAGGGTTGTGGTGGACATTTGGGTACATCATATTCGAAACGTTCTGCCAAAGCCGAGGGACTATTTTGTTTTTGCGGTAAGTCGGGAACACCATTCGTTTGCTTTTGATGGACATTGTAGACGGGAGAGGGTTCTTCGTAAATACAATCGCTGGCCGTTTGACTTGTATTCATGATATTTGATGACTGAGAGTGTTGTTGTTGTTGAGATTTCATTTCACCTGCGCTCTTTTGGAAGGTACTTAAAAATGTCATTTTCTTCATAACCGGTGGTGTCGGTAATTTGCGGCAAGATTGGGTTCGGGCCACTGTTACACTATTATTACCAATCACCGTGCCAATATCACTACGTATTGCCGCCTCTATGGCATGGATCCATTCTTTGGCATCGATTTCATTGATAGCTTGAAACACGAAACGTTTATTTGGATCGGGAGTGGATACTTGAAAACACACATCACGACGTTTACCCTCTCCAAAATGTTCAATTTCAATACCAGGCATTTTCAAATACAATGTTATACTGGGCATATTCGAAGTAGGGCCATCGGCATAACACAGCAACCAATCATTGAGGATGCCACAGTAGCACTTCTTACTCTGATCGAAAAATAAACGTTTTTCGATTCTCTGCAATTGACCGTATTTTGTGGATTTGTGTATGGCCAAGTGGCCGGCTGGTAAATCCATATATGGACACTCGAGATGTGGCAATGAAAAATGTGATTCGGGTGTTATGGCTTTTTGGGTTTCTTCCAGATGATCTTCCTCGCCGTCGGAGCCCTGTGTTGTCACCTGACAGATATCATAAATTTGGGGATCATCTTCAAATTCATCATCCAACTGACCATCGACACTATCGTTTTCAGCTTCTTCGTCGGTCGTAGTGGTCATTGTGTCGTGTAGACGATGCAAGAAACTTTTGTTTTGTTTTACAATCATGGTCGAACAGCGAAAAGTTTTATCACTGTCCGCGGAGCTATTCAAATCATGGGAGGATTCTCGTGAAGAAGGCGATGATTCTGTAAATGAAGAAGGGGAAGAAAAAAAGAAAATGATATGAACGTGTTGTAGTTGTTGTTTTTATGATAAATATTATCGGTGGTTGTTTACTATATTTGTTTGACGTCAATTAGAGTGGTCTTGAATCCACAAAAGAATGGGATAAGTAGTCGATTATGCCTAGCAAAGATTAATTGAGTCCAAATGTCAATTGTTGACAAAATTGTCTCGATGTCGAACATGTGGTAGAGTTGAAGGTTAAAGTTGTTTTTTTTTTTTTGACTGAGAAACAGTTGTGGAATGTCTGCGGTCTATAGAAGACCTGAAAAGAGATTTCTATTGAATATATAGAAGTTGTTTTCTATATATGATCTTCTTAAAGAGATCTTCTACAAGATCTATTAATAGTGGAAAAGCATTTTTTTGGATTTCCTGTTTGATTTCGAAGATTTTGAGTCACTCGATTCATGTCCAACCAGTCTTGTGTTCATCGCTGATCTGTGGAATATATTCCGTATATGGAGGACCTAGACATGTTCTCATGTCAATAGAGTATCTCAACCATATTTAATAAAACTACTAGGCGGTGATGAGACACTTTAATGGGTTCGTAATTTTTACAATCATTCACAGAAGGAACTTATCGAGGCCATAGCATCCCCACTAAACATACTGGCGAAATGGCCTCTGGCCTCCAATTGATTGATAAGCATATTTACCTTGCCCTTACAATTCGAAGCAATGGGTGTTGGACTGCTTACAATGGAAGGGAATGATTCGAGAGTTGGTGATGCGGGATTACTATTTAAATTAGAATCACTGTTACCATAGGCATCAGAATTGTCAGATGAATTGAGTAAACGTAAATATGAGACCTAAGGAAGGTCCTTCGTTTATATGGGACATGTAGATTATTATTTTCTCTGTTTGAATATATTGTAGGCATTGTGCCTGAAGAAAATCTCTAAATTGTCTTCTATATATGGAGAACATATAAAAGTTATCGGTCCATAAAATAAGTGTTGAAAAGTCGAGTTTCAGTAAGTAGGTGATGATTTTCACATAACATTTTCCGACTGTAAAAAAATAGTATGTTCTTGCGCCCATAGAAGGTTGGACCTGAAGAAGATTTTCTTCCGATTTAAATCTGTACAACGGTTTTCTGTATGTATGTAGACTACTATTGGAAGGTCTTCGGTCAATTTACCAATTTAGTGTGAGGTGTCATGGGTCTTCAGATATCCTGTAACAGTTCTTATGTTGAAGAAATTGTCTTCAGAAGATCTGTTTTGCCTCTTTGTCGGTCAATTCCGAAAAAACTCTGCAAGATTACATTATTACTTTAATTACAACTATGAATTTGCTGCAATCAGGTTTGTCTTTTTTCTGTCCAACTCGTAGGACTTGATAATCAAGAAATTATAAAAAACAGCATTAAATTAATACAAACGAAACAAAGAACAGCTTCACTTACTTGTGGTTTTATTATTGGCAGCCGACATGTCCAGATATGAGACATCATCCTGTTGCTGATAGAGATGTGTTGGTGCAGCAACAGCAGCAGATTGTTGTAGATCAGGTTGTGATGTTGCACCACCGCCATTCGACAACGATGACGACGACATTGGGTTTGATTGGTGTTGTTGCTGCTGCTGCAATTTGATGTTATCTTTACCAGATTGCCAGTGATTTTGTAGACCATTAGTCACCGGTGTCGGCACAGGTTTTGGTATGGTATATGTAATAAGATGGTGTTGTTGTTGTTGCTGATTTTGGCATTTATTATTGGTCAAACGATTTAATAATTGCTCACAACGTTGTAGTAGCTGTTCCGTTGAGTCCGATTCGGTTACAAAAAACATATTCGATGTATTTTCATATTCCGATGTAGCCAAGGAGGCCCTAAAATAATCACGAACATCTGAAAGGAGGGAAGGGAAGGAACATTCATAGATTAGTTAATATGTTTTATAAGAAAATGTATAAGTATCGGAAAAAGGTGAATGTCAAATAATTAAATTACTACAAAACTTAATGCCATGTTCTGACGGGCATCCGAACAACGTAGTTCGCTCTCAGAATTACGTACATGAATTAACCCGTTCATACAACACTATTCATAATTCATATCATCAGAGTTTTTTATTTCAAACTTTTTGTTTCTTGTTTTACGCCAAAAATGTAACATATTTTAGTGAATTACATTGGGATCTAAATAGAAAAAATAATTCTCTTTCTCCTGACTATAGTATGAACCCATATCTATTTACTTTTCATTCATGTTTTCTGAAAATGTTGTTGTTTTTAATACATTTTTATATTTTCTCAATTCAAATGTCACATACTGTCACAAATAAAAATTTGGAGAATTTTTTGTTTGAGTTGCCCCACATTTGTTTCTTGTTTTGTACGCTAATTAGAACCAAGGGAAAAGAAATGCATATTGCATTATGTAGAAAACAAAATTTACATCCTGCTGCATATATAAAAACTATACAATTTTTTACTTTTCATTCATGATTTTCAATTTTACTGAAAAAGTTTGAAAATTTCATAAATATTTTCAAACTGTCAAAATTAATTTATTTTCGATAAATACTCTCAATTGTTAGGGATGGGACAAATTTATTGGTTATTCAGAGAGTGATACGAATTGAACAACGTACAAAAGTCGGTGTTCGCTCAGACAATTTTGTATGGGGAACTAAGTAATTCCTTCATAATTAAGGGTCGAACAACGAATGAGAGAGCGAACAACGCTCGTCTGTACATGGCATAAACAACCTGAGCCGAGCTTTAAAAAACATTGAAAATAGAACCTAAAATGGTACACATTTTTTGAACAATTTGTATACCCTTTGCAATAAGAACTGTGAAGTGTGACCTGCCAGTTTTTGAAACAACTGCAAAGTGCTGAAAATCTAACCTAAGTCAACCTTAAAATATCGATATTTGTTACAGATATTTATTTTAGAATTTAAAAGAAAACATTTAGTTAACTCAAAACTTAAATTAATTAAAACCATAAAAAAGGGTTCTGTCGTTTCTTCATCGGTTAGTCTTTTTCCGCACAACAATTAAAATTCGTTTTACAAATAAAATGTCGTAAATAACAATCCAAAAAAAAAATGTGTCAGCTTTTTTTTTTTTGTTTGTACTACCATGAGAATATAATTTTAATGTTGGCTCTTCACATCGAATGGAAACTTTTAAAATAAAAAAATGAGCTCATCTTTTATCCATAGGGAATATATGTGGCCGCGAAACGTTCATTCGTATTATTATGGACAGGGTCTTTCATCATCATGTCACTACTATTCGCATTCGCTGCCATCTTCCACCATTACACTTAATTAAAATTAAAAGCCATCATTTATCTACCCATCTGAAATGAAATTTACATAAATGTATAGCGGGAAAGTTTTGCACAGCATTTAACAAGACTGACTAACTGCGGAATGACAGACAGACTCTGCTTGTCTTTATAGAAAGAAATATGTGGCAATATCTTTTGCCACCGTTTTTTTTTTTTTATTGTGTGTCTTCTTCCTGTGAATAATAACCACAGTGGCAGAAGATTTGCCACATTTACTTGGCCTATCCCCCACCATCAACTAACGTCATACTGCGTGACTATTGCAATAGTTTATGTGGTGTTTATAGATGACAGCAATGATGATTAGGTTTGAAAAATTACCTTTTTTTTGGAGTTCCCCATAAAAATGATATCGAAGAGGAGGCATTTTTTCAAACGACATAGTTAGATTTTAGAGTTGTGAAAACCGGAAACTGTAAGCTTTTTATCGTTAAGTAAGTTGTATCATTGATCTTATTGTAAAGATCTCTATAAAAACTATGGATTGCCAATTTAAAAGAAGACCCAAAAAAAAGATCTTCATATTATGGAAGACAGCAGAAAATTTCTCTCTTATATTTCGACGGTCGCGTAGTACAGTGAATGATGTAAATAAAATAATAAAATGTATCTTGGAGTTATTCTATATTGAAGAATTATTGACTGGATTCTGTATATATACATCTTCCGAAGATGTTCTTAAGAAATCTTTGGTATATGTAACACCCGTAGATGATTTGTCAATAGAAAAAAACATTTTAGGCGATAGGGGCGCCCTACCCAAAGGAAAATGGCAACACTTCATACGCAAGGGGCACCGACCTCCAAAAATTCAAGGAAAAGTTATTTCTAGAAAAGTTATTTCTAGTATGGCATAGGAGAAAAACAAGTAAAAAAATGTCAGCCGGTGTTGTCGAAAAATATATACCCTCAGCGTATGACATATTGCATGGAGGATACAAAAATTTACAGGTTTTCAAAATGTTAATCCTTTGTGATGGAGTTACCAATAGTGTTCCTCCGATGGGTCCCATCTTCGATCTCGATCTGGGTTTGGTAAAAATATTACAATGTGAATTTAACTGATCAAATCGTATACTTTATTAGCTGAATACGCAATTTCCAAATTTTCAAAATTTTAACACTTTGGGTCGATGGGTCCCAACTTCGAACATGATCTAGGTTCTGTAAAAATATTACCATGTGCAATGTTTGGAACACATTTTGGAGTTACACATTTAAAAAAATATACAATTTTGGGGGAGTTACCAAATGAAATATGTCGATGGCGCCCAACATCAGTTCACAAGGGGTGGACTGACTGATTTCATTCTCGGACTTGATTTAGAGTTTGTAAAAATATTACGATGTGCACAGTTTGGATCAATTCGGACAATACATTCGCATTATATTGGATTAAAAGATTTCCAAATTTTGCCATATTGTGTTTCCAAATATTTACATAAATCGGTTAATTTTGATCATTTTATGGGAAAAGTACCAGAAGGAGTAGCTCGATATACAACATTTTTGAAGTTGACTTATGTTTAGTAAAAATAATCCGATGTGCGAAGTTTGGATGAAATTGGTTATTTAATTTAAGAGTTATCGTGCGCAACTGTCAGACAGGCGGACGGGCATTTGTAAATTGATTCCAAATCACATCAGCTGTCGAACATGTTTTGGATTTTCGATATTCTATATACCCTATTTTTATGAACTCTTAACAAAATTGTTTTTTTTTTTTTTACAATTTGTATCCTCAATGGCCTTATATAAGATAGGTACATCACTTATTGTTATTATTTGTGTTGGTTCTAAAGAAATTTCTAAATAAGTATGCCCCGCAGAAGATATGAGTATTTAACATGCCACCTTTTTTATGTTAGTATATTTACCACTCGTTTATTGGACCCTATATTTACTTTCTTGTCCGATACTTTCTTTGAAGTAGCTGCAAAAAATGATAAAAACCAACATAAATTACTTAGAGGCCCCATCAGCATTGATGGCAAAGTTCAAAATGAAGTGGCGATTTCATTTCTAAAACAAAAACAACAACACTGAACACCAAGAAAGTCTGTGTGTTGGTAACATTAGTAACAATTAAACAAAAAAAGTGCCGCTTTTAACATAGACAACGACGACGCTTAGCAATCATTATTTGCTAGGAATAACTTCTTCATAGCAATGTCCGCAAGAAGACCGTCTTTGACTTTTCTAAAGTAAAGATTCATTTGAAAAAAAAAACACACACAAACGTTTGTCTTCAAAAGACAACACAAAGAGTGGCAACAAATTAAATGCGACTTAAAACCGCTATAAAATTCACTAAACCATAACATGACGATGACGGTAACGATGATGATGACGATGGTGGTGTTTGGGTTGGTTGGTGGTCGTTGTCTTCTTCCTCATTCCTTTTGACGATTTCTTTTGCTATTTCTTTGTTTCCCACTAAGTCGTCACTAGCTTAGTTACCCGGCTAGCTAGCAGGCCCAAAGTTAATGATGTGATATATGTAGTCGAATAATAAAAAATAAATCTTAACATGTAATTATCAAAAGTAATCATCATCATCGTCGTAGTCGTCATTGTTATCATAAAGCCACACCACAACCGCATATTGCCCAGCCGCACCACATAATTTTGGAGGGCTTGTTCTTTTATTTATTTTTTTTTTGGTGGACAATCGTCTGTCTATTCACTCGTTATAATTAGACTTCAAAATATTTTTAAGACGAGATCCTCTTATATGAGAAAGAAGAATACCGACAAGAATGGATTCCCCGGAACATATTCGTAATTGAGACGTGCGAATGAAAAAAAAATGTGTTGTCAAAAAAAAACATAAATAATTAAGGAAAAAGTTTGCAGGAAACCACCGCATGAAAAATAATTTGACACTATATTTGAATAGTGTATGAAACTAATCCTTAACTAATATTTATATACACTACTGTTTACTTAAATAGCACAACATGTCGCAATAAACGTTTTTGTCAAATATGATGGAAATATGAAATATAAGTATGCTCTTACATGAAGAGCACACGAGCCTCAAGTTTTTCGGTAAATATGTACCTAGAACCGGTCTATATATACAACCGGTATGTGGGCCTATATTAGTATATTCAAAGCGGTTATATTGAACATTTCAGCCCGATTAATAACCTCACATGTCAAAATACAGTCACATAGGTTGGCCGGCGCTTAAAGGTTATGCCAAGGTAAATATGTTGAAAATTATACTCGTAGAGATTTTTTACATTCTGAAGCTAAAATATCTGTTTATTTTTGATAAGGAGGAGGATAAGGCATTTGTAAATCGATTCCAAATTTCCTGAACCCAATATTTCGATGAAGCACATTTTTACCGTATCAAAGCCATATTAGCCATAAAGCCAAAGGTATAACCATTAAATTGTCTGGACCAAATCCGCTCCAGACAAATTTGAACAGCTTTAAACATTCGTTCGATGGTGGCGAACCATGGACGTACCATTTGTTGTAGTATCGATCGGGGTATCCAATTTGATCAGAGCTTTGTACTTTGTAACGTCGCGAGCCCAAATCTATTCCAAAGGTGGAGACTATGAGTACATTCCTTCGAGTACCATTTCCCGAAGACTGAACATTTGGATCAGTTCCATTTTATACAAACTTTGTAATCTGTTTTCCAAGTCTGGTTCTAGCGAAATGGTGGAGCCCTGGACCTCTAAAAATTTTACAAATTTTGAAAATTTTTAAATCTCCTACGAAGCCAAGCGCTGATGTCCGTGAAAATAAATGTAAATTTATTTGACAATTTTTATTTTTGCGTTTTCCAAAACTATATTTTTGAACAAGTTAAATTGATGTGCTAAGGTAAGGTTTTGGAAAACGGCGAGGATTGCAGAAGCTCTAACCTATTTTGAATTTTCACAGTGGCCTGACTTAAATTCCATATAAAAGAGAAATAGGTTAGGTCCCACTGTAGGAAATCGGCGAGGATTACAACTTTTTGGAAAGGTCATTGAAAATTCTACTACGCCAACATTTTACTGTTACTAGGCCAATATTTTCTGAATTTCCATAGTGTCCTGGCATTAATTCCACATAAAGAAAAAATAACTCTAACCTTTTTGAATTTCCAGCGACCTGACATAAATTCCATATAATGGGAAACAAGGTAAGGTCCCACTTTTCGGTATGCATTTTTAGAAAGGGCATCGGAAACGCCACTAGGCCAATATTTTTTCTGAAACTCTAAAATATTTGGAATTTTCACAGTGGCCTCACTGAGGAAATAGGTAAGGTCCCACTGTAGAATAATAGCCTTGACAGACGACAGCCTTAATTTGCATTAACAGCCTTAATTCAAATTAAATTGAACATTATCCTCATTTTTATGTGTTGTTAATGCACAAAATCAAACTGAATTTATACTGAATTAGGCAATTTCAATATGGCAATGCTGTTTAAAAATAATTGTTTCTTGTCAAATTTATTTATATTTATGAAAATAAAAATAAGAAATGAAGGCAAATTTCAACCATTTTTTTAAATGGGAGCTATTTTGCTAAGATCATAGTTGCTATTCCTCCTTTATGTCATGTATCTATTTCCTAAAGATGTAATCCCGAAAAATATCGAATCAAATGTAAAAAAATTTCATCCTACACACAGACAAACAATTGTTTTGAAGCAAAAAACTGTTTCGTAAATGCAGAAACTCTCGTCTGTCAGGGGTAAATATTAATTCAAATTAATAACTTTTTAATGCAAATTAAGTCTGTCGTCTGTCTATGGTATAACGGCGAGGATAAAAACTTTTTGGTATGCAGTTTCGGAAAGGGTATCGAGCATGCTTCTAGACCAATACTTTCCAGAAGTTCTAGCCTATTTTTGTCCGGTTTCATCCAAACGTACTTGTACTTAAAACAAATCCAAGTCAAGTCCAAAGATGCAGCCAATGAGTCCACAACATATGCTACCTCTCTCAAAAAGATCGTATATTTCAAACACTTTAAAATTTCCTATGAAACGAATGGCGTATCCCTTTTATTTCAAAAACTTTGTCATAGGCTAGTCGGTGTTATGGAAAGATATATATCATATATATCTGCAACATTTGTTGCTTTAGATCTAAATCGATATTGTACAATGTCTTCCATATGTAGAGGGCTTGTAAAAGTTATTTTATCTTTAGAAGACCTTTAATCGCCCCTTTTTTATAAAATACCTTAAGAAGGTGTTTTTTATATAACAACATTAAGAAGTTCATTTTCTATTGAAGACAAATATTTTATTAAAGGTATGATTTCGATAAAAGACCTATATAAAAAGAGATCTACCTACAGAAGATCTTCGTCCTACTTAAGATCTGCAGAAAGTGTTTTATTCATTGAAAGTCCTTTAGATGATCTTTTTTTTAAATACCCAGAGAAGATCTTTAGATTTTCTTATATCTAAGGAAGGACTGTATGATGTCTTCCATTAATAAAAGACCAACAGAAGTTATTCTATTTATGGAAGACCTAAAGAAGATCTTCTATTTCAGACCTGTAGTAGGTTTTTATCTATGATCTGTTCGGTATAACTGCTAAATATACAGAACTAATTATTCAAATAGTTACATATAATCTAATTTCCTTTTCGGAAGATTGAAGCGTAAAATTTAGAACCAAATTTAAGTGATGGCCTTCTGAAGACAATTAGTAGTAGTAATTTTTGGGGAGGGGTTAATAACCATGGCAAATTTGTAATTGATTTAAGTGTTTAAGTTTCCAACTACACAAAGCCTGTCTGTAATGTTTGTTTGTTTGTACGGGCCGTCTTTTTTATTGTGTGAATTATTTAGAGAATAAAAGTAATAAAAACGTGCTAATGGAATTTATGCAAATATGTAGTTTACTTTTTTATTGCTCTACAACAACACAAAACTAACTGTCTGGATACTTAACACATTGTCTTTTGAGCCCTCAAGACTACATATGTGTAAATGTGTGTGTGTATAAGTGGATATAATACACAATTAAATGTGGAGGAACAATTTCAAATATTTAACACTTACCACAAAGAAATTGGGTGATTTCGCCCTCTTTGGTTGATTGTATAATATCCAAATCCATTTTTATGTATTTTTTGTAGGAGTATTTTAATAACTGGAGCTACTTCGTAGAAATTGTTTTCAATATTTCTCTTGTGTACAATCAAATGTATGCATGTATATATTAAAATATTTTTTGTATTTTTTTTTCAATGCATGACACTTATTGACACAATTAGCACTGTCTTGTTAACCAGCGAAAGATGATGTTGATGAAAATGATTTTTTAGTGTTGTTTTTGTATTAGTTGTTGTTGCTGAAAGTGTATATCTTCAAAACCGTTGAGTGTGGGATCACCTTTTTCCAATATGAATATTATTTTCACACATTTATATTTAAATTTGCCAGGTAAATATTTTTTATTTGCAATTTTTGTTTTGCTTAGCTTTTGATTTTATTTTCAATTATTAATATTTTTTTATTTCATTTAATTTTTTATCACAATTTTGTTTTTTTAATTTTATTTCTCTTATACCGAATTTTACTACATTTTGTTATACTCCTCTTCTTTGTTATAGATTAGATGTTGTCTCATTGATATCCACGATGTTTATGAGGCTACTGTTCCGTTTGTCTTCTTTGCATTGTGGCCTCCTACAGCGTTTATTTGTGGCATGTCATCATCATCATCAACATCACATCGAGGCAATCTGGAATCTGTAACAAGAAAGAGATAGATGATGATTGGTATTGAGAAAATATTTGTTTGTTTTCTATTGATGTGAAAAGTTTGAGTTAAAGGGTTTTTGATTCTAAAAATATATTATTTTTGGAAAAAAAATGTTTTTTTTTTTGTTTCTATCGGATTTGGTGTTAATTGTGGAATATTAGAAAAATAAATATTAAATGTAATGCATTAATATTACAATGAACTGGAGTAGATTATTCTAAAAATAAGTAAATATTTTAAAATTTAATGTGGGAACCTTAAGGCCAGATTTGTTTGTAAAAGAAATTAGTAGTTTTTAGGAAATTGATTTATTTATGGAATATTTTCAAGGTAATTTCCCAAAGAAAAACAATTTGTGATGTTTATTCTTTAGAAAAATACGTAGTAGGTATAACGATTTTCAATTTAGAAAATATGTTTAGGAGGTCTTCAATATGTGGATTTTTTAAAAATAATTTTTCATGTTTCAGACATGAGCGTGGATTTTTTAAAAAAAGTTTTCATGGTTCAGATATAGGCGTGAATTTTTTAGGCATGGATTTTTTATTTTTCATGTTTCAGACATAAGCGTGGATTTTTTAAAAATTATTTTTTATAATTCACCCATTTGCGTGGATATTTTATGACCCACTCAAATGCTTGGTTTGTATAAATAATCTTTCCATAGTGGATTTTTTTAAATATTTGTTCATGACTCATACTAGGCATGGATTATTTAATATTTTAAATAAAAATATATATTATTGACCCAGCCAAAGGCGTGGATTTTTTTTTAATGTTTTTATAACCCTGCTATATGTATGTATTTTTTTAAATATTCTTATTTTCGTCATCATATTCTGAAAACAACCCAAGAAAGGGTGTGCAATGAATTCAATTTTCCAAGACAAGTTGGTCACTCCTTATACTCGAAATGACAGTAATATAAATCATTATATCGGTTATGTCCGGTTATTTACCTACAGCATACATTTTTTATTACTTTGTTGAACCCAGTTTTTAAGAAACAACAATAAGAAACAAAACAAAAATAAAAACGCATAATTTGAAAAGAATTTCTTACAAGAAATTAGTTGATGCCAAATGGTTTTGCCCTCTTGACTCAATCTTAATTAAAAACAATTGAAATAAAGCAATTTTGCTGTTGTTGTGATGGCATAGAGCGGAGGAGACAACTATTAAAACAATGAACAGAACTACAAAAGCAATGTGGACTTACAACAATTCACAGACATTAATGTTTCTTTTCCTTAGACCGAGACTGAATAATGATGACGATGACTCACATATTGTCGAGACATTGTGCCAATAAATGACTTCATGTTATTTTTTGCAGTTGTTTTCGGGTGGATCCGACTTCACTGGCTGCCTGACAGCCCTGCAACAATGCTTAAAGATTTAAATACCACAACGAGCAATTAAATCAATTATTTTCAACCATAATTTAAAGTTTTTGTTTATTTTTATGTTGAATTTTATTCCAAGAATTCCAACGAAAATTATGGAACAGTAGAGGAGAAAATTAGTATGGGTGGAGTTTAGTTGTTGTTTATAAAATTATAGTATGTTTTTTAGTATAAAAACCAAAACATACATAGAGTTGCAAATATTTATTCAGCCATGGTCCTACTTAGATGTAGATTTTTTGAAATACTTTTATAGGTTCTACATTAGGCGTAGATTTTTTAAAATAGTTTTTCAAAATATCCTTTTTTTAGTCTGGAGATAGGAGTAGATTTTTTAAGTCCATAAACGTGAGTATTTTTTTTAACTACATGTTTTTTAGGCCAGACATAGGCGATGATTTTTTTTAAAAATATTTTTTCAGTATCCTACCGTAGGCGAAGATTTTTCAGAAATATTTTCCAGAGTGGATTTTTAAAAATATTTTTCGTAATCCAGCCATAGGCGTGGATTTTTTACGTACAACCAAAGGCGTGGATTTTTTAAAAAAAAAGGGTTAATCTCTGTAATGCATTTCCAATTACATTCGAAAATATTAAATAAATTTAGAAAAAAAAAATGCAATATCCTTAAAAAACAAGTGCAACATTTTCCTGGCGAATAACACATAGGTGCTAGTGCGTGTGTTTATCTTTTCCCCCAAACAAAAATCACATGAAAATCTTATTGAAAACCTTGCGGGTGGTGAGGATGATATGTTTGTTTGTGTCTCTTGTAAAATTTTACTCGCTGTTGTTGTTGTTGTTTGTATTATAGCATTTTAAGAGCCAGTGTGTTGTAATACTTTATTAAACACCCCACTAGCACTAGCTAGTGAGTTTTGTATTTTGTCTGTCTGGCTGCCGCTCTGGCTAGTTTGTGGCAGGCAGTACATGCGATCACTAACCAACAAAACAACAACAATGAAAAATTAAAAAAAAAAAAACAAAACAAATGAAATGTTGTTGGTTAACATTTTAGTAGTTCATTGGAGTGTGGTAATGGTGGTGGTCGATCGTTCGTTCCTTCGTTCATTCCACTGCCTTTTCCCCTTCTGCTGCTGCTGCTGATCGTCTTCCACCTCCTGATCATGTTGGTTACAATATTCTAGGCAATGTTAAACGCCACCTCATACCAAAATGTACTTGGCTTGTGGTTTTCGAAATGTGCACATGTGTGTGTGTGTCTGAGTGTGTAATGCTCAGGTATGAATTGGAATCACACAGAAAAAAACGAAATACAAAAATTCGTTGTTCAGTTACCTCTCATTGTCATCAACATCATCGTCATTATAGGATCCAATATCCATGGGGGCTTACATTTGTTGTTGTTGTTTGATTTTATTTATTTATTTTTTGTAGGTTCTTTGCTGGTGGTGCTGAATTGGCGGCAAGCACCCACCACTGCATGTTGCATGACTTCATTTGGATGATGCATTTATTGAATTGTTGTTGTTGCATCGTTTGGATGGTTTTGTTGTTTGTTTTTTTTTATTAAATTTATGTCTTTATTGTTGGCCGTTGAATTGCATTTCCTTTTAGCATTGTTTAACAATCATTTTCCATTTCCAAACAATAAACGTTGCTGCTTTATGGCTGATGGGTGTCGTTTTGGTCAACATGTGGTGGAGGTGTAGTCGGTGGTCAGATCTTTTTGTTTGTTATTAATATGTTGATGATGAAAACATAATCGAAAATCGCATCGGAAACTCTCTAAAAATTGGGTTGAATTTTTTGAAAACAATTTTTCTAAGTGGATTTTTTTAAAAAGTATTTTTTCATGGTTCAGACATAGGCGTGGATTATTTAAGAATACTTTTTGAAGGTCGAGCCACAGACGTGGATTTTTCTTGAAATATTTATTCGTGTTTGGATGGAAGTTCAACTATAAAGATTCACTTCAAATCGTCTATAAAGACTACCTTCAGCTCATCTATAAAGACTTTTGTCTATTCGCCTATGACGACTCCCTTCAGCTCATCTAGAAATACACATCCTCCTCTAATATACCTCCCTTCTGCTCGTTTTAAAAACTCCCTTCTGCTTCAGAAACATCAACCAAGGACAAACATTGTTTTAATTCCTCTCGGGAATAATTCTTCAAATATTCCCACACATAAACCTGATGCTCCGTCGCACTGCAGGTTATTTACTTGGAGTTTATCAACTTGATGTTGCATGTTAAATAAAATGTATGGTCTCCATGGAGTAAATGATTCCTTGGGCGTTGTTAATTTTTGATTCGTTCCTTCCATGGCCAAGAATGTTGTTTAATGGACATGTCTGGTGCTCCACATGATATCTAAAAAAATGTGTTAATATCTTTATTGGTATTGGTGTGTGGCTCAAGTGATTTTTTTTACAAGGCAACATAATTATGTTTGCCAGCCTTGAAGGCGTATTAGCCGTCGGCCGTACAGGTTAGCTGAGATATGAAACACCAATACCATTATTATCATCATTAAGTGGATATTAGAGTTGGAGAACAGGAATTTCATGATCATAAAAGGAGTTTCGTTCGCATTGAAATCGAAAGCTTTTTTTTCAAGAATAATCATAAAAGATTGCTAATCGTTTCTTAAAGGGTGTTATGACATCAGATGGAACATGGATATTATATAAGTTTTATTATTATTATATTATATTTTTTTTTGAGTATGGGAAACGATTTTTAATGAGGCTTTAAAAATATCAGCTTTGTTAAATTTTTGTATATATTTTTGAACCAATGCAGAATAAAGTTTTAGGGTTCCGAAACGATAAGTAGCATACCACACCTTTACTTGGGCTTGGTTTTTAAATCGACAGTAAAAATGTTCTTAAACTGACCCGCTTTAATGCAATTTATCACTTAAGCACCATTTAAAAGTTAAATGTTCTGAAAAGAAAAATGTCTACGTTGTAGAGTAAC